AGCGCTTGACACGCAACCTTGTCACTCTTGTGAAGTATCGATAATACAGAGTGATTTGTGAATCAATCAAGCCCATCATTCTAGTTCTAAGATCAATATTCATTTCGATACAATGTTATGAATTACTAATGTTTAAGGTGTTGCCACTATACCAATTTTTGATAAATTGATGATAACGGCGCTTTCTAAGATTGTATCAACAAAGATATCATGTTTTTAAATGATACGTAATTCCAATTAAGTAGATTGATACAATTAAGTTAATTGGAATCAAATAAATATCATAATATTAACACGTATACGGCAATATATGATGTTATTTCGATACAAATTTCTTTTATAATTGATTTTAACAAATTAAAAAAGCTTTGATTACAAACCGATCATAAATTATTTATGCTAAACGTATTAGTAAAGCATTGATACACATGTCTTATAAATCGGCTTTTTAAATGCCAGAAATAAATAACGTCGAGACTAGAAGTCTCTTCCCTCGAGCTTGCGATATTTGGGCTGCGAGTCGATTAATAGCGTAGCTTCGCGTTCGCATTGTTTTATGCTAATTGTAAGACCAAAAAAATCGCGAAAAAATGGCACTATGAATTTTGCAGTGTTTTTAATAGGTAACGGGAGCCTGCGTCACATTGTTCGAAGGCCATTCGTAATCGGGGCACTGTGCGCACGTGCCGATTTTATTTTTGCCGACATCATTGTTTGGCAGAAATACAAATATGGTTGAGGAAACCTCTGTTATTTTATTCAGCAGCGCACATTCATGCTGTATATTTATATTTTGAATGAAAACTTCGATTTTTTAATATTCTATTATACGATACAACCTTGTGCTATCAGAAACACGTTAAAAAAAGTGCAAATTTAAAAAGTTATATTTAGGATGACAGACACGCGCAGGATCGTAAATTGCTACTAATTAATGCCTTTAATTTTAATTTCACGGTTATCGGCCTTCAATTTGTGTAAAGTTAAATTTCAAATAATTTCAAAGATGAAAGTTTTAGTACGATAGTCGCAATGAAAACCTGCATCAAAAAGGCAATATTAATTACACTGAAAAAGTACACATTTTTGTAACAAAAGGATTCGCACAAACGCAGCAAAGGAATTATTTTGATTACGGGGGAAACGATTTTAAATTACTGTCCTTTTTACAAAAACATCATTTTACAATTTGTATTACTTTTGTAAAATTCATTATATTAATAAAGAAACAAATCAATAAGAGTTAGAGAAAAAATATTTCTGATAAGATGAACTAAAGTCCAGTGGTTCCGATCAGTTAAACTACTAGGTACTACTAATAAAATTTGATGAATTAGTTTTACAAATCACCAAATTTATTTAATGCTTTAATAATATTTTGAAAGTGTACATTGATGTATAATTTTGAATAAAAATGATATTTTTTCGTATAAAAATTATGGTTCTAATCGTTACATTTCAATAAGTGTACGTTAATGTAACAATACTTAAATAAATTTCGAAATAAGAGAAGACCATTTTATTCGACGACAACTTATATATATCTATTCTATTAAGCGTTAGTTAAACGATAATACTGATACATTCTTTGATCGATGTGCCCTCCATGCGTATTTATAGATATATAAATATTAGGCAATAATTCACCCAAGGTTTAGCTCTTAATATGCATTACACAATAACTCTTAAAAATTAACTTGTGAACGAAAACAAAATATCGAAGTTAATGAAGTTAAATAATTGGAAAATACCGGATACATCAAACTTGTCGAAAGATATTTTCAATAGTTTCTTTTAAAAAACTATTGTGCGAAATGCCTCAACATTGATTTATAGTACTTCTATTACAATAATCTATCAATTCATACTGCTTTCTTAGCATCATGATTCTTATTCGAAGCTGAATTTCACAGCAAACATTACCCTTTAGTTATATGCTTATAAATATGTATGGAAGAGGGTTAAAAGTAAATCGAGATGTTCGCTTGTGACTATGGGTATTAGAAATCCACGACATCTGCTGCGCAAATAAATGTGATATACCATAAATTATTGAACGAAATATTAATTAAAAGCGGCTTTCTCTCGTATCCGTAACTGCTATTGCTCTGGCGTCATTCTTAGAAAGTAACGTACAACTACGTAAATCAGCTATGTGCAAATTATGTTTTCCTCGCTAATTACCGTTCTTTCTTGAAGCATAAATCGTTTGATAATATTTATGCAACATCCAAGAATCCAATGCCTTTCATATCATTCTACGAAACATGTGTTTTGTTCACAAGTAAAAACAATCCAAGGTGTGATGCAGTACAATAATATTCTCAATAATTTTCACCATAAATTCTTACCAATGTACAAGTCTTGTACGAGCGTTTCATTAGCAAAATAAAACACCATAACGGAGTTTTTTTCTATGCTAAGGTTCCATTTCTTAGTTAAACACGGAATTGCAAACTTAAACGAGAAGACTTATTGAAATCCCGTTCAGTTTTTGCCAACCAACTCACTTTGTAAAATAATTACCTCAGATCACGTAAAACATGAAATTCACTTTCGGATTGAACAATGTTTGAATTATTCGCTGCCTCTACTAACTCATCGATACATTAAAAGCAGATAACAGAAAGCTGATTAAAACGAATATACACTTACAAAATTTATAACATTTTAGTGTTTCTATAAGGTAGAAGTGAATATACTAAGAAGACAGTAATCATCCTTTTTTCAGACAAGGAAATTTTTCAGGTGTTCAGCTTGACACTGCAAACCGCAAGACTGTCATATAATAAAGAAGGTGGCTAATCCAGCTTACAAGGTCCACCTAAAAATAATCTGTACAGCACATAAAACCGAAGAAACATTGTTATGGATGTGCGCTGTTTGGCGAATCGATCGATAATTGAAACTTACAATGTTTTTTTGCAATAACAATAAAACATTTCTTTATAATATAAATGTATCCTCGACTACTCCATAGAATTTCAGAAAAGAAAATTGTTAAACTTTCAAGTGAGTCAGATAAAATTATAGTAGCGTCTATTACAAAACTTATTATCTAACTAGTAAAATCATCACCAATGCTCTAAAAGTTTTCACTATCAGACATAATAAGTGATATACTAATTCTAACTACGATCGAATGTAATTCATTAACAGTCAATTATAAGTCAGACGAATTAAAAAAAGAGCAAGTTCATTCAGTGTTTCAAATAATATATAATCTTAAGAGTCATTAATTTCATAATATATTCATTTCACACTTCGGTATAATTTGACAAATTTACTGAACCGGTTATTCACTTTAAATTATTAAATTTATAACAAAGATTTATAAACTAAACGCGATTTTTAATTGTAATATCAATTTTTATGTCTCTTATATGTTTTAGTAATAAATACGAGCAGAGCGAAAGTATTTACACCAATCTGCAACAAATTCTTTTCCTTTGCATGTGCAATTATTGGTACTTACACTGGTTACATAGGGAAATTTTGGAGTAACTCACTAAAATAAGCTATTTAAAATGCCGAATCAAAAATCGCTAAGAAATGATGTTTTTGACTCGGGCAATGCAAAAAGTAACAAAGATCCGGCTACTGAAATACGAAAGGATCCGTGCATTTGCATTGAGCATGTACTGACGCTCGTAATGATCAAAGTGTATCCTTCGTGTACCGTGAGAATATTTCCGCCAGTAATATAAGAAAAACAGACGTATCTACGTCAGACGAAGAAAGTCAATTAAAACCAAACGCATAATAATTATACTGCCACACAATGAAAACGTTTAGATGTATCATATGACGGATATGCATAATCGGGTCAAGCTTCGTTATCTCTATCTACATAACCGTTCGGCCCAAATTTTTTATCCTGATTAAATGTCCTGTAAGCGCTATAATGTTTTTTTTTGTAATTATATCTAGTTCAATCAATATTGTTCCAGTTCTGAGAAAAAAATCAAATTTTATCAGATGTTATTTCTAAAAATTGAAGTTTTTGACGGAGTAATGAATGTAAAGTTCGTCGTTAAAATAAGAATACTTCAACAATAAGTACCTACATTTAATTTTGCTGAAAATATTTCGATTAGATTAAAACTAATGTTAATTAACAGAGAATTCCAAGATTTTTTCATCGTACACTTCAACATTTCGTGAATCAGCATATAGATTTACGTTCTGCTCTACACTTAACAACATTTTAGAGGTTATATTTTATTATCGAATTCCATGTACGAAGCTGTAAATGTATTCTATCATTTTGTATTGCACGAAATATTGAATAAAATCCTCAACATTCGTTAGCGTCGTTCAATGTCAATACTCCTATTAAAGAAAATATGAAATGTTCGAGCAATCTCAATTAATTAAAACATCGTTTTAAACGCTTCAATAAGAGAAATAAATAAATAAGTTTTTCTCATCATTGTTAAAATGTTAAGTTTCGTTTGTACATTAACATGATTTGTTTTTCTTTCTTTTATGCGAACAAAAACTTCCATTGAAATAATTTTTCCATATAGAGAAAAAATTTCAATTATACGTACTTGAGATCTAATTGTTTTAAGTCTTTTAAACTCTCAGATTACAATGTTTAATTTTCTTTATAGAAACGAATATTATACTTTCCAACTGGCGTAGTTGTCGGATTGATTTTCATAAAATAATTTGGCTAGTAATATCTTGATAGTAAAAAATCTATTGATAATGCAAAATTAATAAGATATGTTTTGTATTTTTATAATATTTTTCTATTTATATTTTATATTTTTATATTTTTCTAATCTTTCGGTAATCATAGGTAAGACGTATACAAGGTATATCAAGCTAAAGTTCGTAAAATACAAAAAAGATAAGTATCAACTACGGAATTTTTGAAATCTATACTTTTAAATTTAGACAGCATCTCACGGAAAGCACACTGTTTCTAGGTAAAAATTGCAACAGTACATAGATTGACGTTAAGTTCAAGAATTTTTTTTACTTTTGTATGTGCAGATTTTCAAAGTAAAATCGCTAAACGACCTGTACTCATACGGCTATTTTAATCAGTCATTGCTCATCTAATCGCGAATTCTTCACAACCGATACATAATTATCTACGTAAATAGATCTTGTACGTGCGAAGAGAGAATCGTTAAAAACAGCTGATTGCCCTGACGTTCGCATTGTAAATGAATCTACGTTTGTGAAAATTAGTGTGAATATGTGTTCATAAGGAGCTGATAATTTTGCTTATGCATAGGTATACTAGTTAGTCTCGTTACTTTGGCTGTCTATATGTATACGTGATTGTTTTGATTAATCTGAGTTGACAATCAATTTTGAGTTTAACTTGAATCAAATTTCTTAGCAGTTTGCTGCAGTTTGACACATTCAATAGTACATAACCTCATATCATATTGCTGTGGGCTTGTAGTCAATTGTCGACGCTGAAATACACCTGCCGAAATATGTTTTATAAACCAGAATCAGTGATTATTACAAATTTCGAAAATAACATTCAAAGGGTTATACTGAATAGACCATCGAAAAAGAATGCCATAACGAAGCAGGTAATAAATATGAAAGTAATAACTGCTCTAGAAGATAAATGTTATCTTATAAGAGGAACCACTTATTCCTATTTTTGTCAACTCATCTTGTACTAAAATGTATTTTCAATATTTAAAAATTTTGATATTTTCTTAGATGTATTTAGATTTGACAACGATAATAACAGAATCAGCAAAAAATGATGCTGTTCATGCACTTGTGATGACAGGTAATGGAGACTTTTACAGCAGTGGAAATGATTTTGTCAGTTATATGATGGAATCTACTGATATTGATGAAAGAGATACATCTGAAGTAAAGTGAGGAATTTTTTATGTATTAAATTGTGCCTACTTAATAAATTAATGACTTTTGAAAATTTACATAAAATTTCACAGAAACTTTGTGGATACATTGATTTTGTATCCAAAACTTTTAATTGCCATTGTCAACGGTCCAGCTGTCGGAATAGCAGCAACAACATTAGCTCTATTTGATATTGTTTATGCTTGTGATACAGTGAGTATAATTATATATTTACAAAACAACATGTACTTTCTCACAATACATTAATAAGATACATTAAATTCAACAGGCATATTTTTGGACTCCATTTTGCAAATTAGGATTATCCCCTGAAGGTTGTTCTTCCTATACTTTTTCTAAGATAATGGGACCATCAAAAACATCAGAAGTTCTATTTTTTGGAGAAAAATTAACTGCAAGAGAAGCTGCTCACTGTGGACTAGTTAGCAAAGTTTACAAACCAGGAGCAGTTGATGAAGTTTGGTCACATATAAATAAAATAGCATCTCTTTCAAAAGAGGTATGATAAATAATAAAGAATATTATAAAATCTTTGTTTATCAATTTTAAATTGTTACTAAATATATTTCAGAGTATGGCATCTACAAAAAAACTGTTAAGCAGGTGGAACCAAAAAGTACTATTAGAAGTGAATAAAGAAGAGATGAATATCCTCAGTGGAATATATAGGAAATCAGATTTTGTGGAAAGAGTCTTTCAATTTATGTCAAAAAAGAGCAAAATCTAAATTGTCTTTATAAGTACAGCATTCCTATCTACAAATATCAGTAAATTAATAAAAGAAGGTTATTTATTATTATAGGTTGTTTTTCATTAGCAGTATAATTTTTAAAAGTTAAATATGATGGAATATATTGTTAAATCTTACCATTGTGCTATATCTTATCTTTATAGCACTTTTATTATTTCTGAACGGAAGTTTAATTTTTTAGTTGTTTGTAGAGTGTTTGAAAATAAATGTTATAAATTCTTTAACTTGGGTCAGCATAAATTCCTGAAAATATTTTGGTTTTATGCATATTTCAGTATCAATATAAAATTTATAAACATATACAGTTTCATTAAATTTAGACCTTCATCAAATTAGAACAAATTGGTTGCTTGTAATGCTGCCAACTAAGCAGCTGATTTATCGTTATTTGTTGTTGAGGCTGTTTTTTATTAAGATCAAATTGACAGTTTCTTGAACTGTCTGTATCAAATTTTTCTTGTATTTTATCAGGTATGTCGCCTGTTCCTAAACATGAACACTCCATCAAATCATGTGTTACAGATATAGTTTTACTATCCAAGGTAAACAAATCCTATAAAAGTCGTGTAATCAAATTAACTATATAATTGCTAAAAACATGGAATTATTTGTTTTTAAAATTCGTACTTTTAAATCATTTGCCGATAATTTTAAAGATGCAATAAGATTTGCATCGACTACAGCCTCACTTAGTCCTGTTTTACTGATCTGGCGCTGATAAATTTTCTCTTCAATAGTTCCAGTAGTTAATAATCTAAAAACATGTATATTTTTCATTTATTCTATAAGTTAAAAAGTTTTGTTAATTAATATAATTACCTATAAATATATACCGATCTTTTCTGACCATCGCGCCAAATACGAGCCATAGCTTGAGCATCATTTGCGGGGTTCCAATCTGAATCGAACAAAATCAATCTTGAAGCTCCCACCAAATTCAAACCTACTCCTCCTGCCTTTGCACTCAAAAGAAAAACACCTGTGATAAATATAAACTATAAGCAAAAATTTATATTTTAAAAATAAATTTTGAGTTGAAGAAAACGTACGACAAGTTGTATTATTTTTGGAATTGAATCTATCTACTAATATAGTTCTGGAAGTTGCTGGTGTGTTCCCATCTAATCTACAAAATTGCAGTCCTTCTGAACAACAAACCTTTTCTAGGAAATCTAAGGTTTGTGTAAAATAGGATACTAATACAACTTTTTCTTGTGTTTTTTTTAATGCTTGGAAAATTGCTTGCACTACTTTAAATTTACTTGAATATGTAAATGAACTGTTTATTGCAGATAGATGGGTTGGAACAGAAGGTAGGATTTCCTTTAAAATATTGCTATTTTCACTAGTAAATAGATGAGGGTGATTGCAAACTTTTTTTAAAGCAGTAATAACAGTCAAAGGCATTACACCAGCATCAAGTCTAGATCTATTAAACCAATAGTCTGATATTAAGCTGTACAAATTATTTTGTTCAGCTGTAGGTCGACAGAATATGACTAATTCATGTTTTTGAGGTAGATAACTATTTATCAAATTATTTGTGCGTCTTAAAATGAATGTTTTTGATCTAACAAACAATTCTTTAGCTCTTTCTTGTCCTAATTCTATTTCTTCTTTATCTGCTGTTGAGCGCTGAGATATCACAATTGGCTGCTCATAGTAGTTTTTATATTCACTGAAACTACCAAGAATATTGGGATTTACAAAATTTGCTAATGTGTAAAATTCTTGTAAGTCATTTTGCACAGGTGTACCTGTGAGCAAAATTCGTCTTCTACAATTTAATTGATTAAGAAACTGGAAATAAAAATATTCTAATTACAAATGCAATTTCATTCAGAGATAAGAAATTGTTATTGAAAAATACTCACTTTCAAAGTTTTTACTTCACTATTTTTCAATCTGTGACCTTCATCACAAATTAGCAAATCAAAATTCAAACTATTTATGTCATCAAAATTTCTAACAAACATTTCATAGCTAATAATCATAACAGAAGCTCTTGGTGTTTTTGTAAAATCTTTAACTTTCTGTTTGCCTTCAACAACATATGGTGATATTTTTATGGAACCCAGCCACCTTTTAAATTCTTTATTCCAATTTCCACATAAACTACTAGGAGTAATTATCAACACTCTTTTCAATACTGGCTTTCCATGAGGACCTTTTTTCAGCAGAGTCCAAATGAGTGATATACATTGAAGAGTTTTTCCTAAACCCATTTCATCAGCTAATATTGCACCTTTATACCTATTGTCATACATTCCCATTACACGTTTATACAAAAAAACAACTCCTTCTCGTTGATGAGGCCTCAATACAGCAGATAAGCAGCTGTCAACAGCAACTTCATGGATCTTCTGATCAACACTTTGTTCTAACCATACTTCATCGAAGGATGGATTTGGCATAATAAGAGGTTCATAATTAAAATGCAAACTTGATCCTAATTACAAATTTTAATGATAAAGAAAACGACAAACATTACAGATATAAATTAAGTTTAAATTTGAAAGTAAAGATTAAATTATTTTTTAATACCAGTTCTCACAGGAACAAAACCTTTAGATATTTTTGGTTTTTTAGATGGTGGCTCTGCAGATTTATTACTTGTTCTTTCTTGATTGGATTGGCTATATTCAATGTTATGAATTGATGTCAGTTCCACTATCTAATAAAATAAAAATTAGTAATATTTTTCAGTTTATAAATAAATTTGCAATTAACATGAAATTTAATGTAAGTTTTTAATACCTCTATTTCTTTTCCTCCTATACACAGCCTGACACCATCTTCAACAGTTTCTGGTTTGACTGTGGTTCTACCCATATATTTTCCATTAATATCCTATCATTAAAATAAATTGTAATAATAACATGTATAGATAATTCAATCAACCCATTACCTTCAATACTGCAATTTTTCCACTAACTTCTAAAATTCCATCACTATCCCACTGCTTGTGTTTTCTAGTTGAAATTTTACCAACCATAACATTGTAAACTCTGAAAAGAAAGTTAAGAGTGCATCAAGACCATCGTTTGATAATATATATATTCCAGTACATTAATAATTATTTCTTTCACCTTTTATCACAGTTAATAACATAATTTGTTTTTTGTGTAGAAGTATCAACAGTATTTGATTGAACTTTAGGGAACTGTTCTCTTACAATATCTAATTTTGTTTTCAGTGCAGATTTAGAAAAAATGTTTTTAACTATGTCCTTATCAGCGGCAATCGGCTCATTAATCTTCTCAATTTCTTTACAACTTTCAAAACTTGTTCCTTTTTGAACATTAATTTCGGAAGCATTGTTTTCATTAGCAAAAGCAGAATTACCGGTAACATTATCAAATAATTTTAACACGTCTTCTTTACTCCTTACTGGTTCAGTAGCTTGTTGATTTGGTATACTGTTATAATTCAACTCACGAAACTTAATACCTTTATATATTTTATTTTTATTCATATTGCAGGTGAAATAAGAAAGTTACTGATAATTACTTGGCGCCAACTGCAATCTTTCATCATTAGCACCAACATAAAACTATATTTTCCGTCAAATTATTGAATAGGGATTGGTCCGTTGGATATATTTCGTATGTTTGTGTCGGCAGAGCGCCATTTTTCGAATTGGTTGAACTGCAGTCTGGACGTGCCAGCATCTAAGGGTTAGATCTTCTTCACAAGATTCAAGTGAGTCATTTTTCGTAACAAGTCTATTATTATTATTAACATCTGAAAATTATTGTTAAAAATACTATAATATATCGAAAAAATAAAGTTTCCGTGAACATTTCAACATCCGTAATATTGGTGTTTTCGCAGTAATTAGTTTGAAACAAGTTGTGTTTAGTGGCAATTGAATCTTACAGAGAAGTAAAAGTTATTTGTATTGTTTTTTATTAACTATTCCGAAAAATTAAAAAATTTCAATTTGATTTTATTCATTGATCCAAAAATTAATTTGTTCAAATAGGGAAATCGAATATTTAATTATATAATTTATGATGTGTTATAAATTATAACCTTGAAATTAAATTCTTAATATTAACATTACCATATCATTTTTAATAGTGAAAATACTTTTCATATTTATAGTAAATGTTGAGATAGCAGTTATATGTTGATTGCAAGTAGTTATATACTTTATATGTGTTTACAGAATGTTGATGCCAAAAAAGAATCGTATTACCATTTACGAATACCTCTTCAAAGAAGGTGTAATGGTTGCGAAGAAAGATTACCATGCACCAAAACACCCAGAGTTGGAAAATATTCCAAATTTACAAGTCATAAAAACGATGCAGGTTAGATTTCATTGATTATTTTTGAATGCTTTAAAATCAAAGCACTTTTATTACTTTCTAATTGAAAATTAAGTTATCCGATACAGTTAAACATAGTTGACTTATAGATAAAAATATTTTCTAAAATAATAATTGTAACTGTAAAGATAAATAACTAATAAAAATTCCTGATTTTAGTCTTTAAAGTCTCGTGGCTATGTTAAGGAGCAATTTGCCTGGAGGCACTTTTACTGGTACTTGACAAATGATGGTATTGAGTACCTCAGGCAAGAATTGCACTTGCCACCGGAAATTGTTCCAGCTACGTTAAAGAGGAAACAACCAACGTCTGAAAGCGCAAGAATGAAGCCTCCAAGTGGCCCTAGAAATGAAAGCTCGCGACCTGCTGAAGATCGCGCTGGTTACAGACGTGGACCTGGAGGTCCAGGTGACAAAAAAACTGATGTTGGTGCAGGAACTGGGGAACTGGAATTCCGTGGTGGTTTTGGACGGGGAAAAGCTCCTCAATAAATGATTTTTTCTATATAAATTACAATTTTAGAGTTTATGATTTCTTCTCACTTTAATGTAATGTTCCATTTATGATTTATCTTCAGAAATTAACTTAAAAGTTTTATATTTAAAAGAAACTGGCAATTCAATTAATAATTAATTTTAATATACTAAATTAGTGTCAAAGAATTAATTTTGGCATACATTTATTAAATATTTTAATTTTAGAGTAAGTGGACTTATCTATTATCTATGTTATTATAAAACGACGATCTAATTAATTACATCTTATAAAAGAAACAATAGTAGAAACAACATATTACTTTGCCAATTTATTAACTTAATTCCAAATGAATAAGAAACTTACTTTCTTAAAAAATTTTTACCTAAATATTAAATTGGTTATTTTATGTAAAAAATTGCATAATTCCTTCATTCAATGATTTACTTAAATATTTAATCAATATATTTATTTCAAATAATTCAAACACGTCTTCTTTACTGGTTTGGTAGAGGGCTGATTTGATATACTATTATAATCCAACCCTAAACATAACACCTCTATATATTTTATTTTTATTTATATTCTATGTGTAATAAGAAAGCTAATGATAATTACTTGATGCCAACTGCAATCATTAATCTTTAACACCAATATAAAACTTCATTTTCCGTCAAATTATTGAATAGTGATTGGTCCATTGGAGATATTTTGTATGTTTTGTGGCAGAACGACGTTGTTCTGATTGGTCGTATCTCGCAGTTTGGATATGCTAGCGTCTGGCGGTTTCTTTTCTGTGATCGAGGTTTTCTTAACAAGATTCAAGTGCGTAATTTTTTGTAAATAATCTATTATTATTATTATTAACATTCGAAAATTATTTTAAAAAATTCTATAATAGATCAATAAATCAAGTTTCCTTGAACATTTCAACATCTATAATATTGGTGTTTTTGCAGTAATTAGTTTCAAAATAGTAGTGTTTAGAGGCAATTGAACCTTACACAGAAGTCAAAATTATTTGTTCAAGGAACAATTTGCTTGGAGATACTTTTACTGGTACTTGACATATTGTGGTATTAAGTATCTCAGGCAAGAATTGCACTTGCCACCAGTAATTATTCCAGCAACACTTAAGAGGAAACAACCTACATCTGAAAGTACAAGATTGCAAACTGCAAGTGGCCCAAGAAATGAAACCTCGCGACCTGTTGAAGATCATGATGGTTATAGACATGGACCTGGGGTCAATATGACAAGAAAACTGATGTGGGTGCAGGCATTGGTGAATTTGAATTCCTTGGTGCTTTTGGATGTGGAAAAGCTCCTCAATAAATGATTTTTACTATATAAATTACTGAAGTCAGTTCCACTATTTAATAAAATCAAAATTAGTAATATTTGTCATTTTATAAATAAATTTGCAATTAACATGAAATTTAATGTAAGTTTTTAATACCTCTATTTCTTTTCCTCCTGACACCTTCTTCAACAGCATTTGGTTTGACTGTACACACAGCCTGACACCTTCTTCAACAGCATTTGGTTTGACTTTAGTTTTACCAATATATTTTACATTCATATGCTATGATTAAAATAAATTATAATAATTACTTGTAGAGATAATTCAATCAATACCATTACATTCAACACTACACTTTTTCTACTAACTTCTAAAATTCCATTGCTATCCCACTACTTGTGTTTTTTAGTTGAATTTTACCAACCATAACATTGTAAACTCTGAAAAGAAAATTAAGAGTGCGTTAAAACGATCATTTGATAATATATAAATTCCAGTACGTTAATAACTATTCATTTCACCTTTTATCATAGTTAATAACATAATTATTGTTTTTTGTGTAGAAGTATCAACAGTATTTGATTGAACTTTAGGCAACTGTTCTCTTACAATATCTAATTTTGTTTTCAGTGCAGATTTAGAAAAAATGTTTTTAACTATGTCCTTATCAGCGGCAATCGGCTCATTAATCTTCTCAATTTCTTTACAACTTTCAAAACTTGTTTCTTTTTGAACATTAATTTCGGAAGCACTGTTTTCATTAGCAAAGGCAGAATTACCGGTGACATTATCAAATAACACGTCTTTATTACTCATTACTAATTTGGTATACTATTAAAATCCAACTCACGAAACTTAATACCCCTATATATTTTATTTTAATTCAAATTTCAGGTGCATTAAGAAATTTAATGATAGTTACTTGGCGCCACTGCAATCTTTCATCATTAGCACCAACATAAAACTATATTTTCCGTCAAATTATTGAATAGGGATTGGTCCGTTGGATATATTTTGTATGCTTGTTGTGGCAGAATGACGTTGTTCTGATTGGTCGAACTGTAGTCTGGACGTGCCAGCATGTAACTTTCTTTTCTGTGATCGAGGTCTTCTTCACAATATTCAAGTGAGTCATTTTTCGTAACAAATCTATTATTATTATTAACATCTGAAAATTATTGTTAAAAATACTATAATATATCGATAAATCAAGTTTCCGTGAACATTTCAACATCCATAATATTGGTGTTTTCGCAGTAATTAGTTTGAAACAAGTTGTGTTTAGTGGCAATTGAATCTTACAGAGAAGTAAAAGTTATTTGTATTGTTTTTTATTAACTATTCCGAAAAATTAAAAAATTTCAATTTGATTTTATTCATTGATCCAAAAATTAATTTGTTCAAATAGGGAAATCGAATATTTAATTATATAATTTATGATGTGTTATAAATTATAACCTTGAAATTAAATTCTTAATATTAACATTACCATATCATTTTTAATAGTGAAAATACTTTTCATATTTATAGTAAATGTTGAGATAGCAGTTATATGTTGATTGCAAGTAGTTATATACTTTATATGTGTTTACAGAATGTTGATGCCAAAAAAGAATCGTATTACCATTTACGAATACCTCTTCAAAGAAGGTGTAATGGTTGCGAAGAAAGATTACCATGCACCAAAACACCCAGAGTTGGAAAATATTCCAAATTTACAAGTCATAAAAACGATGCAGGTTAGATTTCATTGATTATTTTTGAATGCTTTAAAATCAAAGCACTTTTATTACTTTCTAATTGAAAATTAAGTTATCCGATACAGTTAAACATAGTTGACTTATAGATAAAAATATTTTCTAAAATAATAATTGTAACTGTAAAGATAAATAACTAATAAAAATTCCTGATTTTAGTCTTTAAAGTCTCGTGGCTATGTTAAGGAGCAATTTGCCTGGAGGCACTTTTACTGGTACTTGACAAATGATGGTATTGAGTACCTCAGGCAAGAATTGCACTTGCCACCGGAAATTGTTCCAGCTACGTTAAAGAGGAAACAACCAACGTCTGAAAGCGCAAGAATGAAGCCTCCAAGTGGCCCTAGAAATGAAAGCTCGCGACCTGCTGAAGATCGCGCTGGTTACAGACGTGGACCTGGAGGTCCAGGTGACAAAAAAACTGATGTTGGTGCAGGAACTGGGGAACTGGAATTCCGTGGTGGTTTTGGACGGGGAAAAGCTCCTCAATAAATGATTTTTTCTATATAAATTACAATTTTAGAGTTTATGATTTCTTCTCACTTTAATGTAATGTTCCATTTATGATTTATCTTCAGAAATTAACTTAAAAGTTTTATATTTAAAAGAAACTGGCAATTCAATTAATAATTAATTTTAATATACTAAATTAGTGTCAAAGAATTAATTTTGGCATACATTTATTAAATATTTTAATTTTAGAGTAAGTGGACTTATCTATTATCTATGTTATTATAAAACGACGATCTAATTAATTACATCTTATAAAAGAAACAATAGTAGAAACAACATATTACTTTGCCAATTTATTAACTTAATTCCAAATGAATAAGAAACTTACTTTCTTAAAAAATTTTTACCTAAATATTAAATTGGTTATTTTATGTAAAAAATTGCATAATTCCTTCATTCAATGATTTACTTAAATATTTAATCAATATATTTATTTCAAATAATTCAAACACGTCTTCTTTACTGGTTTGGTAGAGGGCTGATTTGATATACTATTATAATCCAACCCTAAACATAACACCTATATATTTTATTTTTATTTATATTCTATGTGTAATAAGAAAGCTAATGATAATTACTTGATGCCAACTGCAATCATTAATCTTTAACACCAATATAAAACTTCATTTTCCGTCAAATTATTGAATAGTGATTGGTCCATTGGAGATATTTTGTATGTTTTGTGGCAGAACGACGTTGTTCTGATTGGTCGTATCTCGCAGTTTGGATATGCTAGCGTCTGGCGGTTTCTTTTCTGTGATCGAGGTTTTCTTAACAAGATTCAAGTGCGTAATTTTTTGTAAATAATCTATTATTATTAGAGTTAGTGGATTTATCGATTATCTAAGTTCATATAAAATGGTAAGGTCCAATTAATTACGTCTCATAAGGGTAATAAAGGTAGAAACAACATATTGCTTAGCAATTTATTTTATAACACTCAAAATAAATTACAAAATTGATAAGAAACTTACTTTCTCAAAAATATTTTAACCTAAATATTAAGTTGGGTATTTTTATGTAAAAAATTGCATAATTCTTTCATTAATAGATTCACTTAAGTATTTAACCAATATATTTATTTAAAACACAACAAATATTTTGGAATTGAACACGTAAAGAATGCATATATCAATTGACTAAATAAAATTTAATTTAGAAAAATTGTGCAATGACAAAAGCTATATATTTTTTGTGTGTAGAAGGTTGAGCAAGCATAGATTAGAAAGTTTATTTTTAAAAAATTGAATAATCTAGTTTTGACATGGAAGATTTTATATTAATAATAATGCTCTCAAAGTCCATTAATTAGATCTTTCAAATAATTAGACCATGCAAAAACACCTTCATAATTCATAGTAATTCAATTTTGTAGTTTAATATTTTAACAGCCTTCATCTTTGTCAACTAGTAAAGTTCGATTTGTCAAGCAATTTTTTTACATTTAATTTTCTCAATTACATGATTAACCATTGTTGACATCAAATAGTAGAATGTATTTATTAATATGATTGAATTTTATCATTATCATACTTCAGTACTTTATCGTGTATGAAAGTATATCACTATCATCATATATTAAAATATATATGATAAAGTGTACTATGAGAATTATCAATTTTTATCAATTCAATTATACAATAAATGTATTACATTAAATAACTCAACTATTCAAAATTATTAATGGTTTATTGTCAACTATGGTAAAAATTCATGTTATAGTAATTGTTATATAAATTATTATACACAATGTATAATAAAAATTAATTTTTGTTTTTCATGGTATATATTTCAAGTCATAACACGACAGTCATTCATTGCAAAAATTCTGCCTGGATTATTTTTGTTAATTAACCGAAAAGTTCTAACAAGAATTTTATAAATAATATTTTGCAGTCATAATATTTACTACTAACTACTTCGATTTTCTAATCAATTAAAACAAAAATGTTGATAGAAGTTGATAATTTATTGCTTCATATAAATCGAACTCCTCAAATTGTATTTGTTTTATAACAAAAAAAAGAATATAAAAAATATGTTTTACAAAATATTTTGTGCTGAATTATCAATAAAATTACTTAGCACAATATTAATAGCTGCTTTGGTATTTTCATTAATTATTTTCAGATGATTTAATGATATACTTATAATAATATATCCATTTGTAATATATTTATAATTCAGTAATATAGAAAATAGTTTTGTCAAATTGAATTGTAATAAGATACAAAATCAAAGAATTCATTGGCAACTTTTATCAACATCTTTCTTTCAAAATTCAGGATGACCAATAATTGCAATAATTCATGGAAGAACTTTATGTACAGCTAGATATGCAACTCTTGCACTTATGATTTGACTGTATAAATTATCATCATCATTATATTTACAATGGAAAACTCGAAGCTTATATCGAGCTAATATAAAACTAGACGTTGCGCCATACACAACTCAATCCTATTATTAAAGCAGCACATTTTCATTAAAACATTAAAAACTAATGAAAATTAGCCTAAAGTCTTTTTTCTTCATAATTATATATTCAACCATTATCACACCTTACAGTATCACAATTGTTACTCCAGAACAAACAATTGCCTATTCCACTGTAACAAATGAGAAATACCGTGGCCAAAAAAACAAGACTGCATACTGTACATGGTTTTCTTTCCAGGAAGAAGCCAATCAGGTAGAGTACCATAAACATAACATGAGTCTGGAGCAGTGCTGGATTTACAGGCTTTGGTATGAGTAATACAGGAATTAGCCATTGTACGCAATACATTCTCTTGCTATTTCTTCAATGACAATTTTGTATAATCTCTGATAATTAATGTGATGAAACAGAACAGTTTTTAACTGTACCTATAACAAAAACATACAGACAGATTTTTATGTATGTTATGTATGTACTAAAAATTATTGAGTTAACCAATAATACATATTAAATGAAATTGATATCGTTTCTTATCTATATCAAATTAGAATATTAATCCCTAAAACAATATTCAGAAATAAGAGATGTTATCTTTATTGAAATTATTTCTGAATATTTGCAAAAATAATAGTGAAACTCTGTTTTCTAATACTTTAAAGTTACTCCAAAACATCGTACGATATACGATGATACAATCAATTCAAAAATAAGTGAAATACAAGAATTTCCAGAAAAACACGTTTTTCAAGCAACAGAAATTAGAGCAATAACAAAAACTCAGCGAAACAATATCGAATAAATTATTTACAAACCTCATTTAATTGTTATAACCTCAACATCCATCGACAACGCACTGACGATAATTTTATCGTGCGATCATCTTCACATGATAGGTGCATTTACCAAGTGTAAGTCTTAGGCAATGAAATTTCAACAATCATTAGGGTCTCCGTAAAATCTCACGGAAGCACGTTAATTCCTCTTTATGACATTACGATGCGGTGCATATAATCTTGTCTTGCGCGCACTATCTATTGGTAATGTAACGATATCGATGCGTCTACCTGGTGACCAAAAAAGGAAGCTGAGCAACGCCCGACAATTTGAAAATTAGCATAGGAAATTATATAAATTAATTAAAAAAAAATGTTCTTGGCATTTGATAGTGTGAAAAGTGTCTGAAATTCATAGAAAAATAAAAAAGTTATTCAATAGCTGTAAGGATGTTTTTACATTTAATTTCTAAGTATAGCGAAAGCTCTCGTATCACATCTTGCAATTGTTAATTGTTATTGGTATTTTCTGGCAAATAAACGTGATAATTGAAATGGACATAGTTCCTAATTTAGAGGTCAATATAAATGACATATTGACAATTTTAGAAGAAAGTAAAAGACCTTTAATCGAAAGAGAAGCGGTATTTTTAACACCAATCACAATTCTTTGCGGCTGAAAGCTCCGCGAAGTCAATAAAATCGCGAATTTGTGATCGAGTCGTACGTGATCCAGACATCGCAAAAATAGACGAGAAACCACATATGAAGTGCATATTCAAATATCGGTCAGTTACTCTCAAAAAACGATTGCTTATGATTGTTCGTGTCTAGCAGGTGCCAGTCGAATATACAAACACAATTTTGCAACTTTGCTCCACATAAATAAGTAAGTCGTCAGCCAATATTTTACGTGACAACAAAATTATTGTATTGAATTAATTGAAAATTTCGGAATGTATTATATATATGCATATATATTCATACATTATATATAACACAACACATATTATTTAAAAATTTTTTTAGATTACGTGTGGTGAATTTGCCGCAAGTAAGTTGTACTGACGTTAGAAAAAAATGGGGAAAATCAAGAAGAACTTGAACATATCCCTTACTAAAAAGTTCTTCCAATCGAAGAATATTGCCACTTTGAAAAAACTGATGCTCATAAGTATCATACAAAATTAACGACGAAATGAAAAAATCATTTTTTCAAACCATGAGCACAGGTAAAAATGCGCAAATTAATCTTGGTTTTTGTAATTCTATGTAGCGAGTCCGAACAGAAAAAGTATCATTCTTATTTCAAGGAAACGTCAAATGAAAAAATACATGACCCACTAAAAATTCTTACATCAGTTCTAATGTAAGAAACATCGCTATCCCGTAGGATGTTTTCGCCCCCTATTCCTTATGCTTGAACCTGTTCTCATGCAAGATCCAACGTAAGAAAGATATAAAAATGACTCGTATAACCAGACTTTTATAAAAAATTACAATAAACAATGGTGATTGCTTTGCACTAAAAATGAACACTGTTATTTATTATACATTTTTATACAAATTTTGTTTTTTACATAGATCTGATGTATGGTCTGACGTATAAGGACAGTTTCATGCATCAGATCTTTCATAAAAGTATAGATTACGAGTCATTTTTATATATTTCTTACGTTGGATCTTGCATGAGAACAGGTTCAAGCATAAGTAATAGGGGGCGAAAACATCCTACGGGATCTAGCGATGTTTCTTATACATTAGAACTGATGTAAGAATTTTTAGTAGGATGATTATCATTGTTAATAACAATACGGAATCAATAGAATTAGTAAGTAATTTGTTGACTGGGCAGGGAATACACTATTCCTCAGTATTGAAAATATTATTAAAAATAAATGCGACTAATAAGCTTGAATTTTCCAATTTTTAAATTACTTTAAAAAAATGTATTCTATAAAATTTAGAAAACATATTTAAAAAAATGTTTATTCTATATATGTATTTTCATAAGTTTCAATAAAGTTTACGAATCATTCTTAAATATATGTATTAATCTCCGACTCATACAAAATTAATAAAATTACAAACTTGTTTTTTCAATAAATTCGATGCGTATAACTACAACGTGCTAAAAACATTAGTAACGTTTGTCATAAGGTTTAGGAACGTTCTCATGAAATAGCACACGAGACAAGAATCTACTTTCCCGCACTTGTATCGTAATGTACTATTTTGAACGTTATCAATACGTTCTAGACACGTTTAGGTACTTAAAAAGTGTTACAGCAGAGATTAGTATACGACCGAGTGCGTATAATTTTCGTTTTCAAATAGTTGCAACGATTGAATTCAATATATTTCAGGAACGTTTCTGCTTTTTTGGGACCCTTTTTAAAACGTTCCACGAACGTTCTAAAAGTATGGTTCTACTAAGAACGTTCCTGAAACGATATTTTTGGCAGGTAGGCGGACATTTTTCCCCAAGCAGGAAAGTTCCTGACCTGAGAGTCCTGAGACGATTTCTAAGGTTACACTCTTTGTGCCGAAAGTTTCCAAAACCTGGTTCCAGAAACGTTTCTGCTACGGTCGATGTTACCGGATGTTATCTGGGTGCGTATGGCGTGCGAGCAGTTAAGGGGGCCAGATGGGGTTTAACCGGAAAATTTGAATGTCTTCTTAATTGACGTATAGAAATCGTCCAAGTAAAGATATCGATATGAAACTTTTTTCATCTTAAAGTCCTCATTAAAAGCTTCGATTTTCTGCATCACACGTGACAAAATATTGATTAGGGACTCTAGGAAATCCATCTAAGCGTAACACTTTATTTATTGAAAAAAACTTACTTTACCACAGCTTTCTGAGCGTTGGAGTAAACGAAAATTGTTTTGAGCGGGCTCATTTTCTTCGTTAGGACCTCCGCTACGGATTAAGCGAAGGAATTTTTAAACGAGCGATTTTTCCATATTTTTTCATCGATTTGTCCAAAAATATGAGTTTTTTTTTTCGAATAAAATTCAAAATACTGATGAAGAAATATGGAAAAATCGCTCGTTTAAAAATTCCTTCGCTTAATCCGTAGCGGAGGTCCTAACGAAGAAAATGAGCCCGCTCAAAACAATTTTCGTTTACTCCAACGCTCAGAAAGCTGTGGTAAAGTAAGTTTTTTTCAATAAATAAAGTGTTACGCTTAGATGGATTTCCTAGAGTCCCTAATCAATATTTTGTCACGTGTGATGCAGAAAATCGAAGCTTTTAATGAGGACTTTAAGATGAAAAAAGTTTCATATCGATATTTTTATTTGGACGATTTCTATATGTCAATAAAGAAGACATTCGAATTTTCCGGTTAAACCCCATCTGGCCCCCTTAATACATGCTTATTCAACCATATGATTTTCCAAGCACCACGCGCATCGACATTTCTTTCATTCAAAAGCATTTATATACAGGACATGTATTGGCAACTAATAAAATATGTATACGTAACTCTTACTTGTGCTTTATAATTGCGGAGTTGTTTTTTTTTAAATCGATTGACGACTATATTTACGACATAATAATTTTTTTTGTCACAGAATGTTTTGAGATATTGCAACGAATTTTCTATAATTAAGAATAATATATATAATGTTTTCTAGATATTAAATAAAATCGACGAACGTAGTTACTTGTTTTTTATACAATTTATTTTATTATTGTGATCAATGATTATTTCAAATTAATTTTTATATTTAATTTTAATGTTCCACGTGAGTATGATATATCAAAACTTGAAATAATTTTGCATTCGGATATCGTAGGCCAGACGTTCACAAAGGTGTAAAAATGGAATAATTATTTGATAATATTAATTCGTAAAATAAAAATAAATGTTGTACATGACCTTTTCAGAAAGAGCAGAAATTTTTGGTAAAATAATGACAATCAATTTGTATTTTTAACTCAGTATTCGTCCAATATTCGATGTCCGATGTCCGATGGCTCTTTTATGTAGAGTCTTTAAAGAAAACACTTTTCAGATTTTCGTACCATATAGTATTTTCGGCACATGCGCAAAACATTTTATGTTGGAGAAGGAGGACAAGGCCTGAGCCAAGACGCTGCGTTTTTTCACCTCTCCTGATTTCTTTAATCACTTGTGTGATTGTCGCGGTGGCTAAATAACAGAACATATAACACATCGCTTTAAACTAACAGTGCATCAAATCATAACTTCTCTGTTTAAACAGATATAACTCACTCCTTATTATCTAACCTAGCTTTTGTACGACTACAAAGGCGCGCCCATTAGGGGTGCGCCTTTGCTCCTTCCACTGAGATGGAGGAGGAACCGCCCGATATAGATGATATAGAGATGTTAGACGAAAGTTCATCTCTCACCTCTATCCGCTCACAAAGAAAACACGTCTCTGACACAAAAATTCCTTACGATATTAACAAACACAACCGCATATCGATCGTTCATCTGAATGGATGTCACAATCTCAGTCTAACCTAGAATCCCAACAGTGTTCACAATCGCAATCTAACTACAACACAGATAATCTATCTCAAAGAATCGGTCTCCCTAAAGTGATACACCAGTGATATCCCGCCTCCGTATAAAGTAATTCTCCAAATGAAAAGCCAAAGTGAAAAGATTGTTAAGCCTGTTCAAGTTGCATGTAAATTAGTTCCACAATTCCCAGACAACACCTTTGACGAAATTAAGTCATCAGGCACTGACAAATTCATTTTCCTAACTCATCAAAGGACTACAATAACCTAGAATCAATAATCCCTAACTCATACATTTATAAGTATGGCATTCTGAAGGGTATACCTGCTGATCTCACCGAAGAAGAGATTTTAAAGAATATTGAAACTCCACACAGCCACTACAGAGGCATACATGTTATCAAAACACGTCGCTTTGAAAGAAGGATCGTGAACGAAAAAGGTGAAGTAGAACCTATACCTACTGAGACGGTACAGGTTATTTTCAAAGGACAAATACTCCCCTCATATGTGTATCTTTATAGAGTCAAAGTGAACGTTGAAGTTTATACCCCCAACGTAAGGTTGTGCACCAAATGTTACCGTTTTGGACACGCCAAGCGCTTCTGTAAATCGCAAAAGCATCGATGTTTGCATTGCTGTAACGACCACTCCGCCGAATCATGCACTATCCCCAACAAAGTCCAACTTCCTTGCATAAACTGCAAAGAATTAGGTAAATTAGCAACTGATAAGAATTGTTCGATGAGGAAATTTGAACAAAAAGTTCTTTCATTATCATTCCGTAAAAACAAATCGATTCAAGAAGTTAAGGCAGAATTTAGAGCCCTCGAACAGACCAAGTCTATCTCTAACTTTCTAGAGCTTCACGACTCACTTGCCTATGGAGAAATAGCTCACACCGAAAATCTTTCCCCAAATAATATCACCAAACAGCCGGGAACCGTCATAACTCATGTTTTGCCAGTCACCCCGCTCGTCTCAGACAATAGTCTCATGGTCACCCACCCATAATACTACTGTACGTCACAACAGTCCCTTAACCACTCATCAAAGGTCCTTCACTCATCATAATAAGCCCAATAAAAACTCTTCCTCACTTGAACGAAGATCACCCCCTAGACCCTCGTCTCCTTACTCGGACAAACATCGAAAGCTTCTCATAGCGATAAATGGCAATTACGGCCTCAAACTCAATCCAATTGCCAATCCTCAAGCAGAAAAATCGCTTGAAGAACACGGTCTACAAGAAGGTTATAGCTTGCAAGAAGGTATACTGCAAATCGTCTCTTGTGATGATGGATACAGGTTTAACGGCATGCTCTTCATACATGAGCAGTGTAGTCAGATATTTGCCAACTTTTTAAAAGACCCCAATGTTTTAAAATACATTCGAAACACGACTCGTCACGAAAATGAAGATAATGCTATAAACCTCGAAAGAGAAATTAACTCTCCAACTACTGCCCAAGATTCAGAAACAACAGATGATTCCACTGAAGACAATACAATTCTAATTTTACAGCAACAAATAACTACAAACGAAGCTCAATCCTCATAGCAATCCCACCTTAATTTAATACTAAGATAAATATTAAAAAAAAAAAAAAAAAAAAAAAAAAATATTAAAAATCATTATAATAATAATAACAAAGACAGACTTGTGAATCTGACGCCCAAAAAAATTTTGTAATCATATTTTTGAGTTTTCATGAGCTAAAACGTTTTCTCCCTTTTTCCGGATTATGTCTCCGCTTGAAATTTTATTTCCGGATTTTCCGTTTTTAAGAAAATTGCGAAAAAAAATCGGGCGTTCGTACAGCGCGCAAAATGCATTAAACATTTTTCTCCTGTTTAAAAAGAAATAATATCGATAGCGGATGATAGCTCCTTATTCCCGGATTACGAAACAATTTTCCTTTTGTCGATTTTCTATCCAAAATTGAGGAAAATGTAAAAATTAGTAATATGCGGCAGTTAATCGATAAAACAGGTCAAACGTTTGCTAATCACCAGATATCCCTATATGAGTTCTGCATTGCGTAATTATAATAATTCAAATTCTACTCAATTAACCATTCACATTTTATGTACATATACATAAATAATTTTTTCTAAGGTTTTCTATATGTTTGTCAACATGCCAATTTTATAATTAATATTTTAACTATATAAAATAACATAATTCTGAACAAACTAATAAAAAAATTGAATTGACTAGTTAAAATTGAAAAAAACAATCATTGATCAAAAACTTATAGCTTAGTTTTATATTTGTTGAATTATTTAATAACGAACTTAATTTTACTTCCATTCTTCTTAACAATATAAAGTAATAATCCATTGTAGCATATTATAAAAATACTTCAATATACAGGTCAGGTTAAAATAAACTATATTTGTTTTGTCAAAAACATATAATTTATTTTTCCTTGCTTATGTTACATATACAATATTTATTGATAAACATTGTAAACAATATGTCGTATTATAAAATATATTAAAAACTATAAAACAATAAGGTTGGATTATTTATATTTTTTTATGCAAATACCTAATCGTAATCATTATCCACAAAATTAGCAAAATTGTTACTATGTTGAAACAAATATATTTTATTTTAACCTGACCTGTATATTGAAGTATTTTTATAATATGCTACAATGGATTATTACTTTATATTGTTAAGAAGAATGGAAGTAAAATTAAGTTCGTTATTAAATAATTCAACAAATATAAAACTAAGCTATAAGTTTTTGATCAATGATTGTTTTTTTCAATTTTAACTAGTCAATTCAATTTTTTTATTACTTTGTTCAGAATTATGTTATTTTATATAGTTAAAATATTAATTATAAAATTGGCATGTTGACAAACATATAGAAAACCTTAGAAAAAATTATTTATGTATATGTACATAAAATGTGAATGGTTAATTGAGTAGAATTTGAATTATTATAATTACGCAATGTAGAACTCATATAGGGATATCTGGTGATTAGCAAACGTTTGACCTGTTTTATCGATTAACTGCCGCATATTACTAATTTTTACATTTTCCTCAATTTTGGATAGAAAATCGACAAAAGGAAAATTGTTTCGTAATCCGGGAATAAGGAGCTATCATCCGCTATCGATATTATTTCTTTTTAAACAGGAGAAAAATGTTTAATGCATTTTGCGCGCTGTACGAACGCCCGATTTTTTTTCGCAATTTTCTTAATAACGGAAAATCCGGAAATAAAATTTCAAGCGGAGACATAATCCGGAAAAAGGTAGAAAACGTTTTAGCTCATGAAAACTCAAAAATATGATTACAAAATTTTTTTGGGCGTCATATTCACAAGACTTAGTAAAGTAAAGTTATCGGCGTCTCAGTCAGAGACCCACCGCCATCTAGTAAAGTGAAGTAAAGTTTTATGTTATGTTGGTCGATCGATGCTCTAACCTACAAGAAAAATAGTGAAAAACACAAAAACTCAACAATGGAATAGAGTAGAGTATTTATATTTATCAAGTGTTTACTTGCACAATAAAGATAATGATTAAAATAAAAGATCTTAGTATGAATATGGAAGAACAATCGGAATCAATACGTGTTGAAAGTAATTTCCTTGACCGACAAAAGCAATTAAATGACCAGTTAAGTTTGACAGAAAAATCATTGAATAAACATCAGAATCACAAAGGTTCTTATGTACCAAGAATAGAAGATTTAGCGCCCAGGACTTACAGAAAGGATAGAATTAAAGGTTTTAGAGGAAAGGAAAGTATATTCAAACGTCCTGATGCTCCTCCACCTCGATTGCAAAATAAAAATATCATTCCTGATTTCCGTATCAATCCACACAAATATACTTATTACAACTTGGAAGATGTGCCTGATATTTCAGATGAAAGTAACAAAAAAGCTGCTCTTTCATTTTTGAATGAAATGAGAGAAAGAAGAGAAAAGAAAGATCAAAAACAGAAAATACAAGATAGATTACAAAATGAATCAATGGATATTGATAATGATGATATTAATATCACACATGATAAGTCTCTTTCATCAAGTTGCACAGTTAAGTTCAATAAACCACTGAGAAAGAAAGAAAAATTAACAAATGATAAACACAAACTAGAATTTAGAAATAATGTGATAGTAATGCCAGAATATGAAATTGGAACTAAAACTGTTCCAAAGAAAAAGAAGTTACAAAAGAGTATAATATCCGAGAAAGTTGATAAAAATAAACAAATGAAGCTAGACCATCTTCAAAAGTATAGTGATGATGATGAAGAATAAAGAAAAACAAATTTAATTTTTAATATTTTGTATATAGACATATTACTACTTAGTTTAACTTATAATCGTTCAATAAAAGACTTTCTTTATAACAATTTGATTTGACTAATTATCTACCATCATCAATTCTTTTTTATTTTTATCTTCAGTAACAAAATGTCTGATAAAAATACAATCAAATCATTTATAAAATCTAATAAAAAAGTAAAAATTTATTATTTCATATCAATTGCAATTACAATTATAAAAACTGCTAATTTGATAGGCTACTCATTTTTCACTTTAAGTATTTTTTGTTGTTGATTGATATGGCAGTTCACACAAAGTGCACATTTTGCGCAATGTGGCTAGTAAATATGTTACATTGCATTAAATAATGCGATCAAGCCGCACGATGTGACCGTAGGAGATTGTACGCGCACAACGTAGCTTCATATATCTATATACATAGGATGTATATAAGTATTGGTATATGAGTGTGCGATAGGAACAAGACAGGAATATGTCTGATAAATCAACGGTAATTTTTCTCATTTACTTTCAAGTTCTGAGAGATAAATAAATATTATTCAAAATTTAACTGGTGCAAGTACAGTAGAAAATAAAAATTCCAAATTTGGAAAATAAACCAAAATATTAAACATTAAAAACTGATTTCAATTTGAAATACTCAGAAAATATAATTTATAACTGTATATTGTTTTTGATCTTTTGATTGGAACCCATAATTTAAGAATATATGTATTATGGGATATTTTACAATAAAGATTAGTTTTTTTAAAATTGGTTGTTATTTATATTTGACTGAAAATATTTTTAAGGTTAAGCAGAAATGTCATAGCTTAATTATTTATGTACGAAATAATTAGCAAAAAGTATTATAAAATTATTATTCATTTTAGAAATGATGAAATGCAAAATTATATTTTAATGGCTTTTTCCAGTCAATGGACAACGAAATTCAAAAGGATGAACTCACAGCATTAGAAAGTATTTATAACGAAGAAGAATTTTCGTATCGCAGTGAACATGATCAGTATGAAATAACGCTGAAAGTGTTTTTAAATCTTCCTGAAAATTATTTTTTTACTTACAAAGACACTCGTCAACATAATCAACACACAGAAAAAGTCAATATCTCTCATTTACCACCGTTAACATTATTAGTTACATTGCCAGCAGATTATCCATCAATTTCATCGCCAAAGTTTACACTTAGGTCTTCATGGTTAAATCCATCTTCCATATCCAAACTTTGTAAGAAATTAGATAAACTGTGGGAGAACAATAAAGGTCAAGAGGTATTGTTTACATGGATTGGTTTCCTCCAATCTGAAACTCTGGAATTTTTAAACATACAAGAATGCATTAACATAAATCATGCTTATACATTTTATAAAATGAGTTTGGAAAAAACACAAGTGAAAGACAATCTAATTAACAATGAAAATACCACAAGTGCCAGTGAAAATTGTAAAGTGAATAACATACAAGAAGATAGTGCTTCGAGCGCTAGTCATAATAAAAAAGGCAAAAAGATTAGTGTCAGAAAAAAAACTAAAAAAGTTAAAAATAAAAGAACATTTGATAGACGAGCTGTGACTGATATAATTGTTGGAAGAAATCCTGTTCAAATGCTGATGGATTATAATGAACTGCGTAATCAGATTGAATTCAGAAAAAATTTTTATTCTTGTAAAATCTGTTTTACAGATAAATTAGGAGAACATTGTACTCAATTTTTACCATGCAATCACATTTTTTGTAAGGATTGTATACTTGGCTATTTTGTTGTTAAAATTAAAGAAGGTACAGTACAAAATATTTTATGCCCTGAAGATAAATGCAAATCTGAAGCTACACCTGGTCAAGTAAGAATAATATGAATTGTATCTGTTACAAAGCCAAACTTAGAGATATGGTTTAATAATTATTGTGATATTTTGTAGGTCAAAGATCTTGTATCACCTGAGTTATTTTCGAAATATGATTCCATATTACTGAACACAACTTTGGATACCATGACTGACATAATTTATTGTCCTCGTAAAAGTTGTCAGTATCCAGTAAGCAGAGAACCAGATGAAACAATGGCTCACTGCCCTGTTTGTCAGTATGCATTTTGTATTTTCTGTAAAGCTGTGTATCATGGAATTGAGCCATGTAAAACTAACACAGGTATTCATTATTTGATTGATATATAAAATGATCCTAATTTTAATTCAATTATTAAATTTTCTAATTTTTTTCGCAGCTGAAAAACAAAATCTTGTTAAGGAATATGTAGATGCTTCAGATGAAAGGAAAGCTGAGCTAGAGTTACGTTACGGTAAAAAGCAATTACAAACTCTTGTCGAAAATACTATGTCTGAAAATTGGATAGATAGAAATAGTCAAAACTGTCCTAAATGCGATGCAGCTATTGAGGTCAGAAACATTTTCTTTTTATTGTATTCTGTTATTCACGAAATAATTTATTACTACAATCTAAAAAGCAATTTGTCTTTTTAGAAATCAGATGGCTGTAATAAAATGACGTGCTGGAAATGTAAAACGTTCTTTTGTTGGATGTGTAAAGCTAAATTAAATCACGATGACCCTTACCTTCATTATCGTGATCCAAATTCTAAATGCTTTAATATGTTGTATCACGGTATGGTGTTTGATGAGGAAGAGGAAGATTACGGTGATTTTGTTGTTTTGTTTGAAACAGATTCAAGCGATGATAGTTATGGTGGTTATGATCGTTACTCCGATGACTATGACGATGATGAAGACGACTACATTGATATAGAAGCTGATTAGTTTCATCCGCTTTGTTTGTTTTTTTTGTTTGTTTTTTTCTTTTGAAATGTTGAACCGATAATTTTTTAATCCACACCTTACTACCGCTAATTTTACAATTGCTAGATAATTTATATTTTATATGATTTAAATTACTTTTTTTTTAATTATATAGTTTTGAACAAATCAACAGCTTGTACAGGAACAAATCATATTAGTTATTTAAAAAATTAAATGTTCCAATACAAAATATTTTCTCTGTTGTAAATTTGTGCGTTGTAAATACCTGCATCTTATATATTTTTATTGGAATAAATTTGTTTAATTGATCTACTTTCATTTTTATGTAGTTATATATTTTACTTTGATTTTATATACTTGAAACCACGTGAGCAGCGCGTCGCATTGGCAGAGCTCGATAAATATTATGTGGAAGGGATAGTTTCAGTTTCAGTTTACTAGATGGCGGTGGGTCTCTTAGCTAAGACTCCGTCACTCCGGTATGCCAAATATGTGGAAGGGATACATATTTATATATAAACAATGTATACGTAACCTACAAAAGTATTTTATATTCTTCAGTTTAAATGCGGTATAATATGAATTCTATTGACCTACTTGCAAATTTATTTTAAAAAATGTTGACTAGTCAATATAATACGTTATGAATGATACACTGTTGCAATTATTTTAAATTTAATAGTTTATAAAAGTTGTTTTCAGTATTGAAGGTAAGTTAACAATTATTTTAAGTTGCTGATGATTTAGTTCATTTGTTTCTTTTTTAAAAGGTCACTATGCAATCTGAAATTGAAGAAATTGTTAAGATTTCGTTGAAAAAAGCTTTGGATCATGATGCTAAAGGAAATATTGGACATGCTTATGCATATTATACTGCAGTTTTAGAACTTTGTCCAGCCAAACGCCCAGGACTTGAGAAAAGATTTATTTCAATTTTATGTAAGATGATTTTATAATATATTTATAATATAATATATATATATTATAATATATTTATAATATATTTTTATGAGTAAGGATTCATCGTCACTACTATTATTCTATGACAGGTGAATGGGGTATTCAGTTAGAACGAAAAAATCTTTTAACCGATGTTATTAAATGTTATAAAAATTCATTAGAACTGTTTCCAAAAAATCCTCAAATTCTTAATAATTTTGCAGCACATCTTTTAAGGTAGTTATCATTTCGTTTTTCATATGTATTTACTTTATATAAACATATAAAAATGACCTTAATTTTAATTCAGGCAGGAAGAATATTTAAGAGCAATAAAATACTTGAAAAAAGCTTTGGAATTGGATGAAAATTTCTTACCTGCTGTCAGAAATTTACAAAATGCTTACAGTATAGCAGTGGATAGATGGCATTTTGCTATGTTAAATGATAAAAAAAGAAATGAAGCTTTCAACAAGGCTATTAAAAAAAAAGTCCTTTTGGGCTATGACACTGTACTTGATATTGGAACTGGTACTGGAATACTTAGTTTGTATGCTCATGACTCAGGGGCTAAAAGTGTGTATGCTTGTGAATATTCACCTGTAATGGCTGATATTGCAAAAAAAGTATTCCACAAAAATAAAGCTGACAATATTAAACTCATTTGTAAAGCTTCACATTGTTTGAAAATACCTGAAAATATAAATGAAAGGTAATATTTTGATTTTCAATTTGCTGACTACTGGTAAACCTACAGATTAAAAGGTGACGTTTATTCTTATTTCAGAGTTAAATTAATAGTAACTGAAATATTTGATGCAGCAGTATTTGGTGAATTAGTTATTCCAACATTGATTGATGCTCATAAAAATTTATTAGCGACAAATAATGAAGGAACGATTATACCTATGAGTGCTACATTGTACATAGCAGCCGTTGAATCTCAGTACATAAGAAATAAGTCATCTGTTGTTTTCAACAAATCCAATTATCTTGGATCATTAAATTTTGAGAATATTATTATTTACATAGATGATAACTATTATGACACAGAGAGTCTAAATAATGTTGATGTAAATTATATCACAGAACTTTCACCGCTTCTTCAAATCAATTTTAATGATTTAGAAGAATTAGAAAATTTCAATAAAGATGGAATTAAAGGGAATTTACCAATAACGTGCCAAGTAAATGGATCTGTTGATGCGTTAGTAGTTTCATTCAAACTACATCTTGATGAAGAAATTGAGTTAGACTCTTCTCAAAAGAATTCTTGTTGGCAGTTTGCGATATTTCCTCTAATTCCACAAACTGTTAAGCAAAATGATATTTTAATATTGACAGCACAGTTAATAAATGGAAGACTAAAATGTTCATGCCAACAAAATAATCAAAATATGGAACAAGGCAAATTTTTTTATCAATTACCTAGAGATGTTATTACATTTTTAAATGACCAAGAATATATTGCATCACTAATTAAAGTAGCGAAATTGAAGAGAAATGAATGTATCAAAAGCGTGTATGATACTTCTCCTGTTCCAATATATGGGTTAACAGTGTTAAAAGAAAATTCTCTCTGTGAAGTACTATATTGCCAAACGGATAATTCGGCTTTGAAACATTTTATAGAGCACATTGTTAATACAAACAATATTAATAAAAAAGTCTATTTTGTATCAGATTTTAGTGAAATAACCTGTACATTAGATAATATTTATGTACATAATTTTGATACCAAAGGAGAGTTGTTGGACTGGGGTCAACAAACATACAGAGAAATTTACAGGTGTGTTTTTACATCGTTCTGTATAAATCAATCTACTTAAACATGAAATAATTGATACTTGATTTTTTAAATTAAGTTGCCTGCTGAGTTCTTCAGGTACCTTATTACCAGAAAGAATATTTCTGATGGGTCAATTAGTGTATTCAGAAGAACTACCTAAAATAGTTTCTGTATACAACAATAATCTACAGGAATCTAATTATCAAGAAGCTATAAAATCAGACACCAATGTAAGTAAAAAAATTAATTAGTCCTTAACATTACATCTTATAACTTTTCATTACAAGTTAATCAAACATTTTGTTCATGCCAGAGTGAACTTGATGATACTGAAGATGATGAAAAAGAAGAAAAAAATGAAATAGAAAATGTCAAATCTAATTCAAAAACTTATAAATATTCAATAGCTGAATATATAAATAAGTTTAAAGTAAGTCATTGGATATTTTATTTTACTCAGAAAACAAACTTGTAAAAGAGCAATGTTACAATTATTTCAGATCAATCAAGTATTTGATTTAAACTCAAGTTTATATAACTCTATTGCCCTATCAAATGTAAAAACATTAACAGAAATGGATGAGGCAGAAATGAAAGAGGAAATTTTCAATTTTGGAGTTATAAATGTACAGAAGTTAAGAACTGTTCCAAATGCTTTAATTTGTTGGTATAACATTTTTATCACTGACGATGTTGTTATAGAAACAAAAAGGGAAAATTCTTTTATGAATCATACAGCAATAGTTTTTAACAACGAATTTGACAACAAAGTATTACAAGGTGAAGATATCAAAATCAAAATACAGCAAATGCGTGATATAGTAAGGATAAGTGTTGTGTAATAGTAAGTATTTTCATATATAACAAGAGTATATATTTCCAAAAAATATATGTTACAAAATGTTTCTTATAATTCAAATCATACCTGCTATAAACACTGGTAAAATCTTGAATAACAAAAATAGAAACTATAACCTGTTTTATTTATCACAATTTGTGGAGAAATAAGTTAAAAAATTGGGAGATATATCTTGAAATCCTTTCAGGATAATTGTTATGTACATCATGATTTCCTTCAACTTCAATGATAGTAATGTTCTTTTTATTGTTTAATACACTTTTTAATTTCTCCCTAAAAGACATGAGATTAGGTAATGAACTTGATGCAAATATTAACAAAGTGTGTACTTTAATTTGAGCAGTTACATAAAAAGTTTGATCAATATTAAATAAGGAATTAATAGTTAATTTTGTTCTAATGTCTCTATTATAATAATATTTGTCATTTACTTTAGTCGCAGCTCTTTCGAATAATGCTTTAGCTGCTTCAGTATTTAGGCAGCAGTTTCTTAAATAAGAAAGTGCATAAATAACTTCCTCCTCTGTATACAGACGAGGATTGTTTGATTTTGACTCTTCAATGACTAAGTTATTTTCATCCTTAATATAATTGATTAAGTCTTTATTAGAATAAGGTACTGCAATAATACCATCAATTAAAATTAATTTCTGTATTCTATGTGGATAAATTATACTAAATAATACTCCTAAATGAGCTCCAAAGCTATGTCCCATGTAATATGTTTGATCCCATTTCAATTCATCTAATACATATCTTATCGTAAGTACGAATGAGAAGTAACTGAGCAATAATCCTGATGGAAAATGAGAAGATAAACCATGTCCTGGTAAATCAATACAAACATAGTAAAAGTTTTCTGGCAATTGAGCTATCAATCTGTCAAATGCTCCAGCATTATCCATAATTCCATGCACCACTAGAATATGAGTTTTCTGTGGATTGCCCCATGTTTTAGCATCTACATAACCCCAAGGCACTTTTAACTTTAATGATCCTCTAATCTTACTATTCATTTTTCTAATTTACAAAAGAAATATGTTTTGTTTAATGATCATTTGTGTTACTAGTTTTATCGAAATTCCTGTAAAAGTAACCACACGTACCTTCAAAAAATCTATGATAATATATTTAATATTTATGGAAATTTCTATAATTTTGTGTGTGTGTGTGTAAATATTATATTTATGAGCTGTAAATGCCTGCTTAAATTTTTTTCTGTTACTGCTTCTATCAGAAAGTTGGTCGGTCTGCAATCTCTAGTGACCTCTATTGTGTTGAAAGAGAAATGGTTTCTTTTTTACAAACTTGCAACAGGCAACTGGCCTTTTTTGTCAAATGCACAATCCACCCCTATAATTCATGTCCTTTTCCTTGTTTTTATCTCTTGTTTTTTTTATTAATTTTTATATAGTCCCCATGATTGTGAATCTGAGGATCTTTCAAAAAGGAATGCCATATCCATATTGTATACAGAAATTTGAATGATGATATGAATTAGAGCATAGCAGACGAATTATCATTGTGCTATACCTGGCTATACTCCTATGAATTTCTTGCTATATTGTACCTAACCTAACTTATAACCTTCAATATTTTATGCTGTCTAGCTATCGATATCAAATAAACGGAGTACAAATATTACGCATTCATAAGACTTGTGTGAATATAAATTATGTAAGGTTAACTTGGTAAATATAAGCATATCGCTTTAATAGTTCAAGCTAATCACTGGTTTCATACTTTTATAGAAATTTGTAAACTACAAATCAAAATAACAGTTAGAATGTTCAAGTTAATGCAAATAGTTTTTAACAGAAGACTTGCCACTTCAAGATGTTCAAGAATTAGTAAATCTAAAACATTTTGCACAAGCAATAATTATAATCATAGATTGATGATTGCTTCAAATTTTTCATGTCATACACAAATTAAATACAAGTACAGAAGTAATAGTAAAACTAGTAGAAATGAGAATAGAACAGAAGACTTAGATGATGAATCAGATGATGAAAATTTTGAAGAACTTGAAGAAACTGGGAAAAAAATAGTCACTGTCAATATCAAATCTACAAGATTGGATGTTGTTATAAAAGCTGGTTTTGGTATGTCAAGAAACAAAGCTGAAAGTGTATTCTATAACAGTAAAATTCATTTGAATGGAAAAAAAGTATCTAAGAAAAGTGAATTTGTTTATGAAGGTGATGAAATTGACTTGATACATTCTACAACTCCACATAATCCAGATATGCTAGTTGTAACAAGAATATTAATTTTAAAGATTTCTAATAATAATGATATGTACCAAATTAAACTAGCTCGAGATAAAAATTTAACAATACATAGGAAGGCTGTTGAAGATGATGAATAAAAATTGTCTAATTTAGTATTTGTACATATACTGTTGTTAATATACCTGATTCATATGATTAACATAATTTGTTTTATTATAATTTGCTGTTCATATATTTTTTATCCAAAAACTTGGAAATTTCATGTGATATTCTTTCAGGATTATTATTGTGCACATCATGATTCCCGCATACCATTAGTAATTTAAAATTATCAAAACTTTCAATCAAATTCTTTAATCCTTCAATTTTTTCTGTATTTTGATTTTGTATTAATAAACTGTAACTACTTGTGGTGAGAATTATTAATATTTCTATATTCAGGTTACTAAGAATACTCATCCACTGGCTTATATTAAAAATTGGAGCAACAAAATCTTTTAAACGAATATCACGATTGTATTTAAATAATTTTCCTTCTTGAGTCACTGATCTCTTGAAAATAGCTTCAGCTGCTTCATTATTCAAACAATTTGCCCTTTTATACTTCAGTGTATACATAATATCATCATGAGTATATAAATTATATCTTATCTGATTATACGCCTCAAAAGTTGTATTCAATACTTTTGTCAAGCGACTGATAATTTCCTTATTATAAAATATTTTGGGAATAAACCCTTCAATTAAAACTAATGACTGTATTTGATTTGGATAAAGTACACTGTAAAATGTACCTAATTGACCACCCATGCTATGACCAATCAACTTAAAAGTTTTCCATTTCAACTTCTCAATTATATATCTTATTGACAAAATGTAGTTGAAAAAATCTAATGGTATTCCAGCAGGAAAATGTGAAGAAAATCCATGTCCTGGTAAGTCGATTGATACATAGTAATAATTTGTAGGCAGTTGGGCAATTAATCTATCAAATGCTCCAGCATTATCCAAAACTCCATGGATGCATAGAACTGGAAAATTTGTTGGATTGCCCCAAGCTTTGGCTGCAATATGTCCCCATGGTACAGGTAATAAAAATTCTTTTGTTGTTTCCATAATGATCTCTGTATTTACTATTCAATATTAAACGAAAGATTAGTTTTAATAACTTGACACAATTTAGAAATACCTTTTTATTATCTGTTAATAGTATTTTTCAATTTACGATAAATTATTTTAACAATGTTTTCTCGAAATAATTCACTAATTCGTAATCATCAGATAACGTCGGTTAACCTCTATGCACTAGAATATATACTACACACGCACACACACACACACACATATACACGCGCGCACGCGTAATATCAATTGTAACTGGTAAGGTTATAATAATATCAATGGAGACAGACCATGAGCAAACACTTAATATAAGCCGCGGCTGTATCTCATATTATTTTTTGAAATACAGTCAACCAATTAATGACGTAAATAACGTGTAGTCCAAATCGAAATAATGACAAAATATTAACTATTGTATATAAGGATAACATTTTTAATCTTTGATATGTTAATTCTTTATGTAGCACCGTATTATAACTAATAAATTTAAGAATTTTTTTTTCCGCATTCTAATCTCTAAATCGTAACTTTAAGTGTTTAAACACTTTTTTGGCCCTCTTAAATGCATTTTCATCTACATGATTGAGATTCATATACCGTTTTATTATGTAATTTTGCAAAAAAGATTATATAGAAAAATTTTACAGAATGAAACTAATAAGTTACCCTCTGAAAATAGTTGGTAAGTTCTTACGTAGGAACTTACAGATGTTTTTCGAAAAATATATTGATCATATATGGTAAATTCTTATATAAGTTCTTACGTAAGTTCTTACGTAAGAACTTATCAACTATTTGCAGAAGGATAACAGATAAAGAATTTCTTGAACTTGTGACTTATATATAAATCTTTAAGATTATTAAAAGATTTGGTGCTGGAATTTATTCATTGAATAATAAAAAATTTTTAGTTGTCTTATCAATACCTCTATTTATATAAAATGATGTAATCTAACAATAACATTTAATTTTTATATGTATAGGTAGGGTAATCTACGAAAATGTAAAATTGTCATAAAGTTAAATTTGTACAATTACATATAACACCATTATACAATAGGGTCCTTCAATAAATCCGTGACTTTAAATAAAACAACACTATTTATTTAAATAATTCTAATTTATTTTCAACATAGTCACCTTTAAACTCTATACATTTATTATAGCGGTGTTCAAGCTTTTTTATGCCTTCTGAAAAGTAATTTTAATCAAACTTCTTAAAATGCTCATTTGTCGCAGCAATATTACTTCTTCTTTGGATGAACATATTTACCCGCAAGACAAATTTTCATGTCAGGAAACAAAACATAATCGAAAGTCAAATCTGGAGAATTAGGTGGATGATAAAGTATTTAAATCAAATAATTTAGCCGTTGAAATAGAACTCCTGTAAGCTGGTGCATTGCCGTGGTGGTAAAGCACTTTTTTTTATCCAAATGGGGTCGCTTTTTTCAGTATGGCAAATTTTTCATGCCCAAACATTTATGTAAAATATTCCATGTGCATCCTACTGGAATGTTAAAGTAATCTCACACACTTTCAATCGACGATCGGCAAGTATACAATATGACCTTTATATCTTGAATAGTTACCTCTTTTGGACGGCTAATACGCTCAGCATCACTTGTGCTCTTACGGCTGCAACAAAATTCAGTAAATTTTGAACCATGCCAATGTCCATAATAATTCTAAAGCAATCTCCATAATAATTCCTGAGCTTTTTTTCAGTTTCTTTGATTGATTTTCCCAGTAGGAAATAATGTTTAATAAGCACACGAAACTCATTTTTTCCATGATTTTGTTTACACAATAAAAAACTAAATTCAAATGATTGTAAAAAATTTCCAAATGAACGTAGTGACCTGAAACTTTATATACGCACTTATATTAGATAGCACTCTCGTACAGTATAAAATACGTTACTTACGATACACCATCTTCCAAGTCATGGACTTATTGAACGACCTTCGTATATATACATGGTCGTGCCAGGCCGTTCTGAATAACCAAAAAACAATGCTTATAAGGACCACCTAACATTTTAAAAATTAACACACACACACACAAAAGAAAAATAAAAACTAAACAAATATTACTATATTATACATATATATATACACTTTTGATTTCCAATTAGTTATGAATAGTGTAATAGTATATTACCTAATTAGTACGCAAAGGCTTTTTTGATGAAACGAAAAATTTGCGGCACTAGCTGAAGGCGAGTGCTACAACGGGTTTCATAAAAATAGCTTTTTGCATTAGTTAAGGATAGTATTTTTCCACATTAAGACTAAGGAAAAAAAAATTTTTAATATTTTTTGTGTTTGGATTATATAATTTCACTTTAGTAGAAAAATTATCAACACTTTAGTTATTGTTTTAATTTGAATATCTTTTTGCCTAAAAAATTGAAGCTGGAATAACAATCAAGTGTTATGGAGCTATACATTAATTATAATTCAATATAAACATTTTAAAATAGATATACCCATAGTGAATATAACTCTGTGAATATCTTATATGTTATATCTTTCATATTTAAGTTTAGGAATCTGTTCACGTTTCATAGTATATTTTATTATTTTTTAATTTTCATCCATACTGTCAAATGCAGCTTAATTATAATCTTTCTTTTCTTTTGTTTTCGAAAAAACTGTAGTATATTCAAGTCCCTAGCTATTATTACATACAGAGTAAAAGAAACAAAAAGAACAATAATTCAAACTATTATGCATGTAACCAACAACATATCAAAGTATATTCAAAACGATTGCAATTTTTATTTATTCATCGATATTATTGGGTAGGAATCGGTTAACAACAGTTACGAAGGAGCAAGATTAGCGAAAAGTACTTTTATAGCACACACATAAAAGCTTTCCAACTTTTTATGTATAGATATATGTCATATGTTGCAATTCTAAATAACGAATCAGTTTTAAACGCATTTTAAAAACGGAATGAATCGATGTAAGACTTTATATTTCTCGATCTGCGCAATAAGTGCATAATGTATAAAACAGTCCATTATAGTTTAGTAGATATCATGATTTTTTTACATCTAAAAATAAGGTTGGATTTTCAAGGGTATAGAAAAAATGCAAATAATAAAAATAAGCAGGGAAGACTGTTTACCTACAGTTACAGTTCTAAACATTAACATTTTTTGAATAAAAATATTTCTCAAAAGTCACATGAATATCAGAGTAATAAGTTTAATTTCGAAAGAAAGTGCCACATCGAAAAAAACGAAACGAGGCAGCACCTTCGCGCAAAGTGTCCCGCGGGGCTCGCCGCACGCGTGCGCGAGGTACAGTAAAGTAATATAGCTGGCTGTGGATGATCCTGTGTGAAAACTACTAACACAGAGGCGCACGTTCGCGACGCGAGTCGTTTTTTCTCTCTCTCGCTCTCTCTCTCCCTCTCTATCTATCTCTCTCGCTCTATACACCGCGAAAAATGTAATAAATCTGCATTTGTCGAGAGTAGTCGTTTTCAGTAACTGGCGCAAGTTGAAAGAGTTGGTAAGAGCAAATACTAGTGTACAAGTCTCGCGGATGATTCCGCGGTTACAGGCCGGCGTAATGAGAAAATTGCATTGGATTTGGAGCTGATGTAGAAAGAAGAAATAAACTGCTGCTGGTGTTTCTCTTAACCCTTTGGCTGCAGTCATGCAGGCTTCCAATGGTTCGTATGTTTTGTAGGCGTGTGAGACTTCTGCGCGTTCCATGGTTCTCTTTTCTTTTTTCAAGCCAACGTAAACTCAGATAATAAAGAGAACTTATAATCATGTGTGAGTATTCTACGCGAGGAGACACGATTCTCTGCTGTTTTATAGTTTTTTTGTTGCCTGCTACGGGTGTGGAGGGTTACGCGCGAGACTGCGTAAAGGTTAGAATTCGAAATGAAACTTCAACAACGAACTGTATGGCGTCACTCGATCTTTCTGGTTCCACGGTGTTGGGGCTATCACATTGATGGTTATAATAATGACTGTTTTTTTGTCTTTTGTATCCACAACTGTTTTGCTCACGAAGTAGTTTAATGGTTGTATAATTTGGAAATTTTCCAACGTTGCTTTTGGTTCAGTACGTTTGATACGTTTGATATTTTTAATGATGGTCCTTATGGTGGATTGACTCTGAACATTTTAATGTACATTTAGGCAGTGACAAATTGAACAATCTTCAGTTGATACTCTTACTTGTATTTAATTGGATAATCAAGCAGTAATTTAGTAAAAAATTGATAAATGCTACAAGGTTTTTAATTTAAGTTTTACTTGCAAAGTTAGAATAACTCACATAAAGGCATGATTTTTAAATAATAATTCAACATTTCGCTATAAATGAATTATAAGTTATTAACTACATTCCATGTAAATTATATAGATTTAGTCCATAGAATTGACTTTATATATGACTAAAGTTAACTTTTTTAAAATATAATGGTAATATTATGGAGTAGCACTGATTTCCACAAAGGATAATTGATTATACGCTAAAATTTAATAATAATTTTTAGTTTATGCTACTATTCCGGGAATGCCAGAGCTTGGCATGGTCTGGATGGGGGATATGATGGTACACAATGACCCAACACAAGAATTTCTGATAGATCCCAGACAAGCAGAAAATACACTTTACTCGCATGATCATCACTCCTTTGATGATATTAGAAATCATCAAATCCCACCAACAGCAATGGTGAGGTACTTACCTCCTCAGTTTCACAATGAGTGCTCTGAACCTGAGGAGCCTATGGAAGGAGTGGACGTTCAAGATATTCAGCAAGTTAGTATCTTAATATTTACCTTTTTACTGCGAAATTGAACTTGTTCATTAATTACTTTTGTTATTGTAGGATTATGATCAGAGTGATAGTCAAGATATGAGTGAATATCTAGGTTTTGAAGAAGATTACATGAACGAGGATACAAATGAACAAGAAGTTAATAATGCAGCCACCCAAACTCAAGATGTTCGTAATCGTAAGATCAAACCTATTAAACATCCAGGCTTAGTTTTAAAAACTCCAATAGCTTATCAACCTCACACAGATTTGAATTTTATACCAATACGGAAAGATGGTATAGGTAAGTTTTACTTTACTTTCAAATGAACATCTAGAAACTTAATTAGTTCAAAGTGATCACATTTTTGTTGAAATTTTTGCAGCTGTGTGTGAAAAATGTGGTGCCATTGGAGTGAAACACGCGTTTTACACAAAAGAACGTCGGTTTTGCAGCCGAGCCTGTGCTCGTTCATCTGAACATACTGCACCGACTGCAGATTCTACTTACAGTCCGACTCATTCAGCAGAGTCGACATCAGAAACAAAAGTAACGAAAGATGTTAAACCAATAGCGAAGGTAAAATAAATGAGCATATGTAATATTATCTTGTACTACTGATAATTGTGTAAATTTAGATACCTATAAAAGAAGAAATGGTTCAGTCCCAAGATCAAATTGTTAAAGAAAAAGTAAAGCCAATAATACCTGCTGAACCTGTGATGCCAGAAGAATTACCAGTAAGGAGAAAACGTACAGCAGAAATGGCTGGATCATATGACTGGACACCTCAATTGAAAGCACCTGGCTTCTGCGCTGCGCCTGTTTCTTGTTTCAAACACGTAAATTTACTGTTTTCAATTATTAACCGCAAGAGCCACGTCACGTAATGTTTAACATTAAAACCTTTTTGTACTGCAGGCACCCATATCAGAAATATGGGATAATATATCAGTAGGTATGAAAGTTGAAGTAGAAAACACAGATTGCGACGAGGTCTGTGAAGCTTTTCCAGATTCCTTTTGGGTAGCAACAGTACTTCGTATATCTGGCTACAGAGCTTTGTTAAGATATGAAGGTTTTGGACATAGCATAGAAAAAGACTTTTGGGTTTCTTTATGTTCCAATGACATTCATCCAGTCGGCTGGTGCGCGACTATCGGCAAACCTCTTATTCCACCAAACAGTAAGTTTCCTCGTCTTATTTAAAGCTTTAATAGAATGAAAAATGGATTAAACTTGTTTTTATACAGCCATCGCTAATAAATACAAAGACTGGAAAGATTTTCTGATGCGACGATTAACGGGTGCCCGCACGTTACCTACAAACTTTTACAGTAAAGTGAACGACAGTATGAAATCACGTTTCCGTGTGGGTTTGCATCTCGAGGTCGTCGACAAGAACAGAATTTCCCAGGTGAAGGTCGCAACTGTTCAGAAAATTGTTGGCAAACGCTTGCACGTTCGTTACTACGATTCGCCGCCGGATGACAATGGATTTTGGTGCCATGAAGATTCGCCACTTATTCATCACGTCGGTTGGGCTAAACGCGTTGGTCAGACACTCGAAGCGTATCCTGAATATTTACAGAGGCTCGAAACTGGAAGACTGAGGTAAATTAACAGTTTCTAATTTTCTAATATTTTGTTTCGCACAAGGAACAATTATAATTGTTGATATAAATTCTTAGTCCGGATGACGCTACGTCTGAATACTTCATCAAGCCAAAAAATCATCTTGCCCATTATGGTTATACATTCCGTGAAGGTATGAAAATCGAGGCGATTGATCCGTTGAACCTGTCGGCGATCTGCGCAGCAACGGTGATGCAGGTTCTTCGTGAAAATTACATTATGATTAGGATCGATAGTTACGACGAGGATGCAACTGGTAGCGATTGGTTCTGCTATCATGCGTGTTCGCCATGTATCTTCCCGGTTGGTTTTTGCGCACAGCATGGGTTACCACTTACACCACCTAAAGGATACGATCCTACGACCTTCACGTGGGATTCTTATTTAGAAGAAAGCAATACAATACCTGCTCCCCCAGAATTGTTCAATAGAGTAGGTTTTATTGATATGTATTGCATACTTAAAGTTGGTATCAGATATCAAACTGAACAATCGTATTTTTTTCAGGAAATTCCTATGCATGGATTTATTGAAGGTATGCGACTAGAAGCAGCAGATCTTATGGATCCTAGATTAGTTTGCGTGGCAACTATAACAAGGGTTATTGGACGATTATTAAGAGTACATTTTGATGGATGGGAGGATGAATATGATCAATGGCTAGATTGTCAAAGTCCCGACATTTATCCTGTTGGTTGGTGCGATTTGGTCGACCACAAACTAGAAGGGCCTAGATCATATTCGTCAAAAGTTGTCAGTCCGATAGGTAAGTCGAAATAAAATAGCGATGTTATATACAAAATTAATGACCGAAGAACGGATTGTTGTTTCGTCAGTGACGAAATCACCGAGAGGCCTTAAACGTAAGGGAAAGCGAAAAATGAAAAGAGCTGGAGGTGGCCGACCACCCAATACTCGAAGCATTCATCTACGAAGTGCGGAACAGCAGCAAAGGTTAGTAAGAGTAAAAGAAGAACGAGATCATCATTTTGAAAGGGAAGAGGGTCCAGCACAAGGAACAAAAATCGAACGTGAACGTGGTGATGTTGAAAGTATTCCGGAACAATCAACTGCGAGAGAACCGGAACCAGCAGAAGAACCTGCTGGTCCTGATCAAACTTTACCCAGTCCAACTAGTGGACAGGGGCAATCAGTGACTACGACTGACGCGCAAAATGATGGACAACTTGCTCCTCCAAAAGAAAGAACGGCTACTTCCTATATTAACGTAACTTTTTATGATGATTTGAGTAATTCGAATTTCACAAACTTTCAATTGCATTTCAAAAATTCATTTTCAATAGGCAACTAATCCCTGTGGAAAGTATATTCCAAGGTTAGCAGCCGGCTTGCCCAAAAGCTCAGAATCGGGCGAACTTGCACCAGCTGAATGGAACGTCTACGATGTAGCACAGTTTCTCCGTGTCAATGATTGCGCCACTTATTGCGACAACTTCAGCAAGCGTAAGATCGATGGCAAAGCGCTACTCAGTCTTACCAAGGATCAAATAATCGATCTAACAGGTTTCAAAGTTGGCCCCTCGCTCAAAATATTTGACCTTATCCAACAACTCAAAATCAAAGTTAATCCTGCTCAAGAAAGGCTCAAGCTCGGCATGAAAAGATGCTGTAACACTCTTAGTAACACTTAGGTTCGAGCTGTAAAACTGATGTTTACTCAAATCAATTTAGCAGAGTAGAATTTTAATACTGCAACGGGACGATAATACTTTTATTTCTTAACATTTGAAAACATTTAACTTTTAACTAAAATGCTTGGATAAGCTCGGTTATAAATAATCTTTTATATAAGTTCCAACGACAGTAAGTAGATAGTGAATTCACGAGCATGTGCTTATTGTAATGTTTATTTTATTTTTAAAGTGGATTGAAAACATGCCTCAGAGAACGGAAAATGGTTGGGCAGCTAACTATGGTAGTGTCAATTGATTGCTTAAAACTTTGCCTTAGTGTAGAGAAATAATGATAGCAGAGAAACTAATATTTTTGAAAAGGTGAACAGGTCTTTTTTTCGTCAAAATTTTTTGTGGTGCAATACTTGGTGATCTGAAACGGTGTAATACTTGTAAGCAATTACTTGACAATCTACTAAAAAACTTGACTTTTATATGAAAACAAAGAAAAAAATGTAATTTGATACTTTGCGCTATTGAATGTTTGGGATAAAGGAAATTCGTATGTATAAGTGGTGTGAGAACAAAAGGAAAGTACTTCCCTGGCCTTCCTTTACAACTTAGCTATTTTATCGTAGCTACTATTAATATAAACCCATATCTTAACACAAAATTAAAAACAAATTGTACAATATCTGTTCTATATTCGTAAAAAAAGTATATGATTCCACCTGGCATTAATTTGAAAATATTGAAAAGGAATTGCTGAAAATATGAATAGCTAAAGAGAATATAGATATTTAATAATGATAATCCATTCTGTGCAAAAGCGTAGGACGAAATTTGAATGTACATCTAGTATTAGGCTAACTGTAAATATTTAAGTTGAAAACTACAACTGTAAATAATATATCATTATTGATAAGTTTTCTTTCAGCCATTTTCATTCAAAAGTCTAATATGTTTATAAACTTTGAATGATATTTTTAATTACATTCTTGATCTAATTTATGAATCATAAATAATATTAGATTACATGACACTATAAAATATTAATGTATAAATTAATTTTTTAATTTATTTTTTTCGGAACGAAAATGAAAAGATTTTTAAGAATCTTAATACGATAGTGATGTAACAATATGTCAATTGTTATACTTATTCGAACAAAGCAACATTTCTTCTCAAAACTCAGCACTTAACTTCATATTGTTCTTCTTTTATCGATTATAATTAAAATATAAGTTGAAAGATATATTTAGTATGTATATATGTAACGTTTACATGCTCTGAAAAATTCAAATGACTTTATTGTATATTATATATTGACACTTATCATGTCATATTGACAAAACATGTAATTGATGTTTTAAACTGAATTTCATACATTATTATTTAAAAGTTCATTTGCATTAAAACATTTATAAAAACAGCTTATGTCCTAATTTTTTCAAAATTAATTTGTGATCAATCTGTTCTGCCTTTGAAATCAATACTGGATAAGTGTAAAGTTTAATCATTCGCAAAAAAAAATCGCAAGCAATCCTCCCATACTAGCTCCGTTAGTTTGCGAAGCGAACAAAGAAGAGCTTTGCTGTGAAGTATCACCAAAGAAAGACCTCTTTATCAGATCGCTTCCTCGCATCCGCCCGTCACTTTGAATTTCAGAGCAGAGCGACATAAGTACTAAGTTAATTCTGTCCGAGCGATGCCGTCGCAGACACACACATACACGTACACACACAATGTATAAAGAAGCATAAAAAACAGGCGTCGGTCTTTTCTTTTCTCCCTTTTACTTCGTAGTCGGTAGTGTAATATCCCAATGGTCTTCGCGAAAAATAAAAGAAAACAAGGATATGATCTGTGCGATATTTTGTAATCTTGTACTCATTGGTATTATAAGCCAAAAGAGCGTCTATTGCTTGAATGATTTCTTTCTCAGATTACTTTTAATTTTTTTTTATTTCCGATTATTTTGGAGATTGAAAGCAGGAGAGAACGATTAACCGATTGATTGGTTATAAAGTACATGTTTTATACGCATAATGTAAAAGAGTTTGCAGATAATAAGAAGTCTTCTTATTGTTGCACTTATAATTATTGTGTGTGATTTTGTACTTTACATTTCCTTGCTCCGTTCCCTACATTTGGTTTACTTAGTCAGTGATCCTTTTTTTATCATATCATTTAATTACAATATTTACGTACATTTATTTAAAATTTGAGTATTGCAAACTTCTTAATTTATTGAAAGTACTTGAATTTTACTTCAAGTGAATGGAACATATTTTTCATATACTTGTATTTTATTCAAGTACATAATTTCTTGTGATTATTGAAATACGAAAAACATAAAAGACTAACTTTTTCTCAACTGTCAATTGATATACTTATTTATTCAAAAAATGTTTCACAAAAGTTATTCTATGTAATCTTAAATTTGCAAAGTCAAGGTATGACTTTCACCGGTATCTATATGAACTTCAATTGAAACTTATAATATTTATCTTTCAAAACGAAGTTAAACGGTCAATACCTTGGACTTTGCATCTGTATCGTACGCAAAACATTGTTGTACACACAGGTATAAGACATAGGTCAGGCCGTAAGGCAAGAAATTCGTTACAGTGCTCAGAAGAGAGAACAGGTGGTCAGCACGCGCGCGTGCTACGGCTAATCTATCATAACGCGCATAAATGTTTTGAAAGGTAAAGGGTGCCTAAACACCAACACGTGTCGCGGACACGAGAATAAAAGTTACACACACGATAATCATAAGTTACGAAGGGAAGTGGCTGTATATTACGATGCTTTTTCATTTATCCTCGACACTTTTGACAGCCACGTGGGTATTTATTTCCGCGCTACAACTTATCCATTTCTCTAATGCGCTTCTTTTATTATAACGAAAAACAAAGTGTTTTAGCAACTGCGCATATAGCCTTTGCTGATAAATCATTCAAACTGTAGATCAAGCGAGAGAGAGTTATTGGGAAGTTCTATACTCGTGACGGTGGCGTATGTACATACAATGTTTTACCGGGAATTTCATTACACCGAGTGTATTCATGCTATGTGATGTAGCTATATGCCGCGTATATATCGTACGCGCTATTGCCAGGTAATTTTCTAATAGTCCGAGCATTCTAGCTATAGCAAATCAACAATGACTGAGTAGACAAGCCTTGAAGAGAAGGTGTGTACTATGGTGTGGAAAGAAAAAATAGTAAGTCTGGCGGGAAAAAATGGCTGTGCTAAAAATAATTAAGAAAAACTGGTAAAATATATGTCTTTTCACATCTTTGATGTGCAAGGCCAGGCTATGTCTATCTTCTCGATTAATAATTACCTTTTGCCAATTGCTAAATATTAATTGAAATTACAATGTAAATTGTATGTTGTGATGGAATGAAGAAAGGTTCTAAATTTCAATACAAAAAATTAATAAATTTCCTTATAAAAGCCATTTATTAAAAAAGAGGCTCTATTTGAACTTAATTTCTTATTCTTAAGGATGTCCTATGGCAGCCGGCAAGAGTTCGTTGCTTTCGCTAAGAGCTACAGTATAACGTAAGCTTACTTCCGTCGTAATTTTTAAATTCAAATGGTTTAAAAATAGAACTAAAGACAGACTGCAAATTACCTTGTAAGCAAATGGAAATCTTTCGCTGTGAATTCAATCGTAATTATTGATTTATACTATTATAAATCTGGAATTTACAAAGGAAATGGATGGATCAAAGTTAGAATTTTTTTTGTTTCAATCATTCCGCCTTGAATCATTAATATTAAGCGATGAAATTTTCATAAATGTTTCAGGCAGTAGTTAAATATTCTTATAAAAAAAACAACATGCTGTTAATGACATGAAAACGTCTATAAAAACATGAAAAGTAAACACAACTCTCGGACCGGGGCCACAGCGCATAGTACAAGGTTTTGTACGAACGAAAATTTTATATTTTTTCATCAACTAATGCATAAAGTTTTATCATATACTATGCATAATTCTATAGATCTACAGGATATGTATGTTCATGCATTTAAGCCTATTTCTAATGTTCTAATGATGCCCAAGTCCTGGGCACAGACGGTATACCGTAAAATTGCTTTACTCATAGAAAGTCCTTTCTAAATCTGCCGAGATAGAACTATATTTGTACTAACAATAGTATATTTTTAAAACGTTATTACTTTTATATAATTTATATTTTCGAATGAAAATTATATTTGCACATCTTGCATTATATTCCGTCTATAATCAATTAATATTAAATATATACTTTATAGTGAATGGAAGATAATTTGAAATGCAAAAAATTACAAAATTAATGTACATTGAAACGCAATGAAAGTATTCATTAAAAAAAAAAAGAATTATTTGAAAATAATATAGAATACTGACCAAAAATAAAAGACGTCGAAATTGCAGTGGAACAACGTTTTTTCATGAATTATGCATTAGTTGATGAGAAAATGCAAACTTTTCACACGTTTCAAATTTGAAAGCACACTGTAACTTTTCCTCGTGCACGTTTGCTGAGCCTCCAATCTCTGCCCCCTTCTCCCTCCGCCGCGCTGCGCACTGTTGTCCCGATCCGAGAATCACGCTTAATGTTTTCATGATGATTTTATGGAAGATATTTCTGTGCCATTAACGGCAAGATTCCTTTTTTTCTGAATCATATTGCTTGAAACAGTGATGCAATTTTCTCAGCTTAATATTAATAATTAGAGGCGTTATGATGGAAACAAATAAACATCCTGAGTTTACTCCTATCACACTTAGCGAGTCCATTTTTTTGTAAACTCGTCGAAATTTTTCAACTTTGAGATAGTCGCAATCAAAATACGATCAAGTTTGCAACGAAAGACATTCCATTTGTTTACGAGATAATTTGCATTATGTACTTCAGGGCTATATTCAAAGCATTTTAAATTCATGAAATGACGGAAGTAAGCCTACGTTTTATAATAGCTCTTAGCGAAAACAACGAGCTCTTGCTGACTGCTACAGGCATAACATTATTGTATACACCGTCCCTTCGAAGCTTATATCTAGTTACAGTTATTGTTGGAGATTCTCCTAGTCTGCCTAGACTTTAATTCGCTTTAATCCACCATAGCGAAGTGCATGTTTTCGAGATTGTTTTCTCGCGTGAATTTATACCCAAGCGAGCGAAAAACGCTGTCGAGGGAAATTGCATTTTTGGGGTTTTATAAGGACAACGTAACGCGCTCCCCACAATACTTCGGCCGGAATTGTTGCGCAAGTTAACGTGAAAAAGAAGCCGTTGTATTTGTGTTATATCGATAAGCTTCGCGTTCGCGCAAACAGTAAGGGGTATAAATGAAATATCAATGCAATCAGTTCTATTGCAGACGTTTACCCGTGATAGGCGCGCAAGATTAAATATCAATTGCGCCACCTGGGGCAGGTATGTGCGACGTGTCAAACGCTGTTGCAGGCCAAGGGCAAAAGGGGCGAGGACGAGCTCGGGAAGAAAACGGGGAGAAAAGGGCAAACAGTACTTCGCCGTTCGCAGGGTGCACGCACACGTAATACTCGTAGATTTAACGTAACAAGGTCCTTCTATTCTTCCCTGTAACGGCTTGTTAACGGGTAAAACGCACATTAAATTATTCCACGCGTAAGGCAAGGACGAGTGCAGATGATTCTGGCTGTTGTGCGTGACTCGATTTCTTTTCTTTTACGATTCTTTATTAAAAAGACACTTATAAATCTACGAACGAATTGAATATAATTGATAAAGTTATAATTAAAATCTTTAATAAGTAGATGCATGATCAATTTTCATAGACTTCTATTAAAATACAATTTTCTCCTAAATATATATGTATATACATATATACACTACATATATAGATTCAGAATATAATAAATTTTCTTATATAACCAGAGAGTATTTTATATTTGAGATGAATGGACTACTTGCGGGTACTAATTAATCCCAATTACGTACATTCGTAAGTATCCAAAAATGTACAATGCAATATCAGCATCGTGAAGCTAATAGATAATTCAAAATCCTTTTTCATATATTATATAACACGTAAAGCAATAATATTACTACAGAAATCGTTGGTTAATCTGTGAAACGAATACCCGAAGCTACACATACGGTTCACCAACTCTCTCGCAAATTTCTCTTCGTGACATAAAATCTGTTCGTCTAATCTTCGAAGAAGCCACATTGAATGTTATTATTTGTTCGACTGCGGGTAGTAACGAGCGGCAGGTATGAGACATGCACACGCGTTATAAAAGTTTGCAAGAGGCACAAAGAAAAAGAGCAAGAAGTCACGCGTACACGTGCACATCTGGAAGGGCTTTCGAAGCTAAAACTTGGGCGGGAGGGGTGCCAACAATGTGTAAAACACCATAATGCAATATAGATGTGCACTATGGCTTTATAAAGAACTTGCGTATGTATGTGCGAAAGTAGGGAGAGCGAGAGATAGAGACAGAGAGACATAAAGAAATAAGGAGAAGTTGACTGATATTGAAGGGAGACGTTGGATTACTGCCGTATGGATATATATATGTGTGCTGAAATTGCATTCCTAGCGTTGAAGATGGGGATATTAATAAAAGCTATTCAACAGGGTAACAAGACTGTGTGTTTTCCTTTATTTTATTCGATTGGTCTTTCTCGTTCTTTTAGAGGAGATTATTTAGTTGGCTCGTAGTTCACTATTTGCAAGTATGGGTATTGAACAGTTTTCAATTTTGAAACATAATTATTTGTAGAAATACTCCTACGAGTTCTTTTTTTTTTTTTCTTTTTAGGAATTGCTAGATTACCTTGAAAATGCAAAAATATACTAGAATTTAAAAATACAATTGATTAACACTTCCAGGAATAAAACTCAATGGTTCTCTAAGCTGCTAATTTCAAATTCACGCAGGTCAACAATTGACATTCCAAGATATCTTCGCGAGCTTCTTGATTCGAAAAACTAAGCAAAGATCCAGAAATAAATAAGACACCTGACAAAAGAAAAGAAAAATAATACTTTAAAAACATCTACAGAACAGAAAAATTCTCATCACTCGGCTCATTTTACCCCGCAAATCAGTCAACCCCAAGTTCTCTCAACGTCCTTCCGAGCGAGGGGAACCGCCGCCGTCACACTCAGCTCGTGCGCGTATATATAGTATAGTAAACTTTCTGACGTGGTGTGGAGGAAGTCTGGTGGGCGGAGCTTGAAGCACCAGCTGGCAGATGTTCCTGCGCAGCATTCTCTAGAGAATACACATATACATATACATACACACACACACACACACACACACATATACACATTACATTCCATGCCGCTGCCGCCGAGCCTACGCGACGACCAACTAGTCCCCGCAGCTTCGAGTACCTTCCAAGCACACACACACACACAGCATGAAGTTTGACTGGTGGTGCTGCCTGGCGGTCGAATTCTGTAGCTTCTTTTCCTTTCGTCGCCGCCACGCGAATACCTGCATCGAAGCATCTGTAGTCTGTACCCGCAGATATCTATGGAGCTTGACCGACTTATATCATCATACATTACGATAACGATTGCGTTTGCTCATTGTAGATATAGCGATGAATGGCTAATTTTTTTGTTAACGCCAGTGCGTGCGATAACCTTCGATGACCTTACGCCAGAGTTGGAGCCGTTGTTTTCTGTTGGACGTTAAAATTTAATAGTCAAAACTGACTGCGGCGTGAATGTCGTTCAAATGAATGATGCATTTCCACGCAGCTGATTTGAAAACTATGCATACCCCATTCAAGATATACGTATACGGGTCTTCCATTCAAAATCACGAGCCAACACACGGAGTATGTTACAGCACACAGAGCAGTATTGCGTAATTAATAATAATGGATTTATCGTAAAAGAGAGAGAAAGAAATCGCGCTTGAGCAATGTCAAAGTGATGAAAATCACGATGATAGAAGTCACATGTTTTTGACACGCCGGCTACGCCCAAAAAGCGTTCTCAGCTGATCGCCGGCACGCGGGGATTCTGCTATATAATACGAATGCCGCGCCGAGATACGGAGGAAATAGTTAATTCTAGAGTCCGGTAACGTGAGAGCGTCCACCGCACACACTAGCGCGCGAAGCAGCATTTGCCAATGACGTCAGAGAGCTTTAGCGTGCTATATACAACACGAAGCTGCAGTCAATGGACACCTTAACTGGCTTTTCTCGCTCCAGCTGCGATATCATTTCTTTGTCATCGTGCCTCTTTTTGCAACGTATTTTCGTTACTTGGAGCTGCGTGGGTGCATACGTGCATGTGTAATTATCGATTGCACATCGTAGTTACTACGCTTGCTCGATATCTGAGCTGAGGGTTGACCATATTCCAACTTATGAAGATTTGATGTACATACGTTCAGAGGGCATTCTTTTTATTTGAGACGTGACATATAATTGAATACACAGGACGTAAATATTTAAGTAGCTAGATAGTGCGTCGAAGAAGGGCATTATTTGCGGTTGCAGTTCGAAATAATTTAATTATTTTAAGTATATATTAGGTGAACTTATACGTGAATAGCAAATTAAGAAATTGTCAGCAAGTAAAAATTATACATACTGTGATGCACATGAAAGGAGCCAGTAATAATTAGATGTACTGTCCAAAGGTGGGTATCTTGAGCTGACGTTGCGTGTGCCACTGTTGCTTTGCTCCCTCTTGACCTGCTATTGTTCTCTTCTCTCTATTGCCTTTGACCACACGCCGATGACGATCATCCCTTAAGTCAGCTACCTGCAGCCAGAGTGAATGGCGCCTCTAATGAGCTTCTGTACTTGTCAACGCAACCACAATAAAGCGCTGCGCACCACGCTGTATTTATGACCTCCGATAAGATTCATTTTTCCTTCTTCTTTCTTTTTCGCAGCTAGTAAAGCTATTGTGCCGATGATTAAAGTATTGTTCTGCGAGCGCTGTTTTATTACCGTTGTAAAACTTCGAGGCTTTTTTTACTTGCTGCAGCTTCAGTCTGCGAGTACGATTCTATTCATTTGGCTGAATTGTTTGAGTTTACTTGAAGTGTTGAATTCAATTAATTTTTGTGTGTTTGTTTCTGTATTTTTGAATAGCTAAGCTGATGAAATAAATAATGATGGTGTAATCAGTGAGGTTGAATAACCTTGATGTCTATACGAAATTAGTGAGATTGTTGGAGAAAAGGGATGATGTTAAATGATTTGAAATTGAATAGTAATATTGGTATAATTTACTGTTGCAATAGAAGACATTAATTTTCAAAGTTTATGGGAAATGTTGAAATTTTAAAACTACAGGGATCTGATTTTCCAAAATTTGAAGCTTAATGTACCACTCAAGCTTATTTATTTAGTCTAAACACATTTAATGATCATCATTAACCCTGGAATTAGGAAAGTTAATTATTCGAAGTAATTTACGTTCTTTCATGAATTTACACAATCGTCATTGAAAAAATAGTATCTAACTACATCAAAAAACCGATTGACTGGAAAAAATAAAAAAAAATAAAAAAAAAACCATGAAGATATGTCCAATTTGAAGCGCAATTGTATACAAAAAAGTCTTCGAAAACGCGCGAACGAGCGGGAGAGCGTGGTTTGAAAAATCCGGAGCATCATCTGGTCGCGTCGCCCACGTTGGTTGTACGTTTTACGCTGGCTCGCTCGTTGCCTCTTGTACGTCATCAGCCAGCACCGCGCGAGACATGAGCGAAGCCCATCCAGCCGGCGGTAGTTGCGCGCGCATCCTACGAAACGGCGGTGTCGGCGGCTCGACCGGCTGTGCTACGGCGCGTTCGTTCTCTCTCCGTCTCTCGTCTCTCCTCTCCTCGCGCGCCGCCTCACTCCTCAGTCAGCCAGCAACGCGCGCGCGCTTCGTATGTACGTGTCGCGTTTCTCTGTTCTCTAAATCAACCACCACCTCTTACACATATATATATATATATATATATATACGCATATACAACCACACACGTGATCAACTGTGTGTTGAAGTGTGTGTCGTTCGAAGACGAACGTGCTGTGTAAAGATATCGACAAATTATATATAGAGTGTGTGAACTAGTGTGGATAATTTGTATATTTTTTGACAAGCAAAAACAAGCCACGAGTGTTACAAAAACGGCGAGAGCAAAAGAGAGAGAGAAAAAAAAAGAAAAAATGATGATAGGCAAAGAGCCGCAGCAGCAGCACCGCGGCACTTAACGCGAGGGCACCGCCGGCGTATGCCCACGGCCCTGTTCGTTCCTACAATCCGGCCGGCGCGCAAGAGTCCACACACACACACTTACACATACGCTCGCATACAGCTGTTTCTCGCTCTCCGCAGCAGTTTCCCGCGTAAAGCGCGATACCGGCGCTACTACATTGCTACTGCTACCAGTTACTTCTATTAGTGCTGATGCAAATGCTGTGATTTCGTTCAAATTTTTCTACCCGAAGAAAAATTCTTTGCGTCGAGTGTTGTCGGGTCGGAGAGCTCTTCTTGTGCTAATTTATTGCAGTGGCGAGAACCAGGATTAGTGTGTTTTAAGTGTGCGTGCGCGTGAAAAAAAGGAGTGCGTGGTGCTGGCGGACGGCCATTATGTCAGTGTTCGCCAGCGATTTGCTCGAAGAAATAGTCGAGGCGACTGAGGAACAGGAGGCGGATCTTTGCAGGTTAGTCGTGTCCTTTTTACTTTGTTTTGTTTTTATATGTTTTTTTTTAACGTTAATTTTGTTTTTCTTTGGTCGACGATGAAAAATTTTTTTACTCGTTTCTTGCTCTAGTGTGTAAACGTAAAGGGGATAATATTTACCGAGGACCCCGAAACTATTTGACAAAGAGTGAGCAAGTGAGCGACTGTGAGAATCGTGAAATACATAGCACGTCACGAAGTATGTTTGTGTGTTTTCCCGGCGGCGCTCAGCTGTTTCAGCCGGTCGGCGAAGGACAAAGCGCCGCACACTGCTGCCGCAGTCGCGTCGCTGCTGTTTGGCACTCAGACGGCGGCGGCGTGTTGTGATGTAACGTGCATACGCGTGTTGTTTTCTCTTTCAGCAATGTCGTTTTTGTTCTTTCTTTGCTTTTTACTTTTTCCTTCGTCACAGCTCTTACGGTCGTCTTGTCGCGTGACGCGATTAGAATAGACATCGATAAGTTTGATTATTTATCGCAAATAGAATTATTGGTCGTATATTGTTAGTTTCTGACACCTATATATCTTTAGCGATCATGCACTTTTTTTCGATGAAACTTCTGATACACGACCTATTGATATTCTACTTTAACATTTATTGGAATGTTGTGATTCGAACCTAGACTCATTTTCTACTTTCTAAGTACACATGCGGACGTACAAGACCTTCCGTGTCGCTTGAAAAATATTTCTTCGAAAAGCGATCGTGAGGCTCGTGTATCCATGAAATATTAACTTCGCGAGCTGCTCAATTATTAATTTAGTTGTGCGATGAATTACCGTCCGAAAATAACGAACACGTGCGCGCAAGCTTATTTGCTTGACTTTGTTTGTGTGAAAGTGTTCGCGGCCTGCACGCAGACAAAGAGGGAGAGAAAAATTATTTTTATGTACGCGCGTATGCGCTTGCGTGTAGGAGGGTGTCTCGCCGTCGTCGCTGGCGCTCGTCGGTGGCATCGGTTATTTTCATGTGTATATGTAATATAAGGAGCACCCCCCCCCCTCCGCCTTCCTCGACAAATGTGCACGAACTTTATGTATTTTTTTGGTATACCTACGTGTTTTTTGCAAGTACGCGAAATTAGAGTACACGATAAGATGTAGCATAATATTTATAAGTAATGGGGTAGTGTGGATATAGTTGTGAAATGAAAAATTGATTCAAATAGACTTGCATGATAAATAAATTAGTTGATTCAAGCTTATATATTTTGCGCTTTGTCTTGGAAGCTTATAACTATAAATTAGTTATACGTCTCTACATTCCTAGTATGTAGTATATAATTTATAATTTTATAGAATTCTCGTTAAATCATCAAAACAAATATCGTGAATTCTGTACCATCCCCTCCCCCACATCTCCATTATATGCGTTGGCAATCGAGTTAGTTATTTTACAATTTTATGCGAAACCTTGCGCTTTGTGCACGATAAACACAAAACCGTATTTACCCCGGCTAATTTTTCGTAAAATTACCCTTCGAAAGCTTGCTGCCTCTGTTGATGAGCTTCAATTAAACTATGGATCGAGTTACATCCGTTTCGTCTATATACAGTGTAGCCGAGGCAAATAAAATCACAGTGCACAGAAAATGTCGAGCAGACTGACTCCGTTGATTACAACGACGGTTGACATAATTGAGGAAACATTTCCTACCAAAGTTTTGCGCTTTCGTTTATTTTCTCTTCTTTCGTCGCTTCACTTTGCATGTAAGCTATACGTCTCTGATACTGATTACGATTTGAAACCATGCAGTACAACGCTTTAAAATAGAAAATAATTAGATACTTTCTAAAAAAACTATATCACTCTTTTACAGCTACATACGTAAAGTTTGATCATAGAAAAATGCAAACAACATTTAACACAAGGATCAAATCAATAATAAATGGAAAAATCTTTAAAATTAACATAAGCCATAAATAATAAATTACGTAATCAAGCCGCGTAAGTATCGATAATTTCATAGCGCGTAAAAATTGACAATCGAGACAAAAGTATTAGTAGATTACAACTCAAAACAAGGCTGCGAAAGTATTGACAAATCCATAGCGCGTGTTTCACACCCTCGGCTTCGCCGCGGTTGTCAATTCTCACGTGCTGTGGACTTACCAATACTTTCCCAGTCTGGATACGTAATCTACTAATTTTCAATTGATGTCTTTAAAGCCCGTCCTTCAACTCATTGTCAAATTGTAAATGTGCAAATGAAAGTGTTGAAATCGTCGGTTCGCAAAAAGAGAACCTCGAAAACGCGCGAATGAGGTATTGACATGCCGCTCTCGAATTGTTTTTCTTTCTTTGCGAATTGTATGACGCTCGTGAGCAGAGCAGTAGCGTCTGACTTCGAGCGAGAAGCAGATAGAGAATCCGTGGTGACGTAAAGCTGCCGCCCGCCGGTCGAACAGCTGGGACTCTCTTTTTCTCTCTTTGCCGGGGATTTCCCGAGGATAAAGTCGCACGGCGCGAGTGAATAGAAACGCGGCTTGTCCGCCTTTGCGCGAAATTCATCGTGTGTATATGCCCGGTATAATAGTAGAGCTCGGATTTTGATTGCTTTGTCGCATCGAACACTGCAGTGCTTAATCTTTTTATACAGTTGTGCTCTCCCCCGCGCCCCCTCCCTCCCTCTTCTTTCTCCGCAGAGGTTGACGTTGACGCGTATGAATTTTGTTTTTGTTCAGTTGTGTGCGAGACACGTGTGTGGACTTGAGCTTCTTTCTCTATCGTTTTTTTTGTTGTTGTCGCCGGTCCCGGCAGTTGTGTATTTCTATCAAGAAACATGTTTTCGAAAACAATGTGATACTGTTTGTATTTTTGCAGATGACTTCTACTCGGCCGATTTGTTATTCAAAGCTTTCACGTGATACAATACTTTCGGAATAAATTGAATTGCTGTCGTTCGATTGTCGTTATTATAATATATCGCGTGTGGTACCTACACATGTTAATCGTCTGTTGTTATGATGAATCGTATTCAAACCGTGCCTCGTTTTCAATTAAATATTCTGCAGTGATACGATCATATGCGTACCACGTGTGTGTCATGGAATTGCAATCATCTCAAACAATAATAACTTCGTCTTTAAAATTGGACATCGAAATATTTAAACGAAGTTGTAAATGAAGAGGAGAAACTGTTTTAAGAAAAGCTTTTGGATTGGACTTATTCTTTAAAAATATTTAAGCGAGGGTTTACATTTTCTCTGGTAAAATGTTCTGTATTGGATGATATAAAGAGCATTCTTATAGTACATTATCGGCCGTCTTCGTAATCGGTGAAACGGTCAAATATTTACAAACACGAGTCTGCCGTCGAGGACACCGATCTATATACATGTATCGCACACATGTGTGTATGACTTTTTTCGCGGAAGCCGACCTTCGAACGACTTCTTTTGATTCTTCTCTTCTTCATTACAACCTCTTTTCGCGAATATATTAATTTATTGGCGAGTTTTCGAGGAAGGCTAAGAGTCTTGTTTTTCGAAACTATAGTCTTTGATTAATCACCGCAATCCGATAGATAAAAAAACCTCATTTAAAACTGCGAATCGTATGAAATTTTCATAAAGAGTCATCTCCAAGCTAAAAATAGCAATTACACGGAATATAAAAATTCGCATTTCCCGCTCGCCAAATCGAGAGGGGTGGACGGGAGAGGACAGGGAGAGATATGAAGTAAGGATAATCGCATTCGCTCTCGCTCTCTCGTAAGTTCATTTTTCTAACTACAGCGTCGGCGAGCGGCTCTCTTCATCCCGCTTAACCTCAAAACTACTCAATTTAATACGGCGTAAGAATAAATTAAACCACTCCCGCAGCAGCTCTACTTTTGCCGAATTAGCAATGCTAATCCCCTCGCGGGCGCTCTCTAAAGAGAGAAAGCCGCGCAATTTTTGCTAATCTGAATAAAAGCATCAATTAACGCTGCCCAAGTTTTCCCTTTTCCTCTTTCTTCTGCTGCGGCAGCTTTTTCACGTGTCTCGTTTGCTTATAAACGATAACCCGCGCGTGGCGTCGTACCGTAAAGAAAAGAAAAAAAAAACAAGTGCGATGAGACGGCGGGGAGATAAAAAGGCATGGTTAAGGTCCTGGTAAACACGTGTCTAAGTGCGTGTACGTGGTACACGTACAAAGAGGTACGTCTGCTTTGAAGACCCTTCGTGCCGCTATTACAGCTCTCTCGCGACGTTATTGTACATCTTCTTTACTCTCGCTGTGGAATTTTTATTATTTTATTATTCGTGAATTGCGTCTCATTTTCCAACAGGATTCGAATTTTTCGACTCGCTTTGCGCGTAACTCAACTTCATGCGTGCTTGCAAAACCGGGAACTCTATTTCACCTTTGCTCCGCTCGGGTAAGAGCATTACACGAAACGAAAATCTTCTCTGAACTAGTATTGTACTGTACTAGTTGCACATTGATGAGCAACGATCGCAATTATAACTGAAATACTGATAATAATTACGTATCGCAGAGCAAATTTGGAAAAAACTTCGCAGATCCCGTCGAAGATCAAACCTTGACAGAACAAAAATAACAATAATAATCATGTCAATCGGCTACATGGTCGTCGGCGTCTTGGAGAAAATATACTCAGGTCGTTGAAAAGTCAAGCTAAGCGAAACTTTGCACGCACTGAGATATAATAACGCAACTGTGTGTATAGGGTGACTTGACCGAGGTAGACGACGACGACGGCGACGATCGGCCCGCGGCCAGCGTCATGCATGCATGCAGTAAGTTACGTAAAGGCGCCGCACTCGTTGCACAATAATCGACTGCTATAAATAACCTCAACGCCGCCGTCGTCGTCTCTCCCTCTCCCTCTCTCTCTCTCTCTCTCTGTCTCTCTCTCTCTCCCTCTGTGTTTTTTTTCTCTCTCTCACCTTGTTTATATATTTTTCCTTTGTCACCACAGCTGCTCTCCGTTCTGTACATTTTTCGGTGTATTTTTTCTTCGAATGCGTGTG